TACTCTTACTTGTATGGAAGTTGTTTTTCTTTGTCAACCTATCTTATATTCATATTTTAACTTTGCAATTAATCATTAATAAATGAGTGAATTCGATTCAATATGTCAGAATCATCATGTGAGAAAGTGTACTTTTCATGCTACGGAAATTCATTATTTAAATGATTCTTTTGACAATGCTAAATATATCTTTTAATTTCAAGAGGCTTCAAATTCACCAGAGAGCATAACACTAGTGGTCTCAAAATTCTATTATTTAATCATTACAGTTGAGTATCTCTTCACTATATATTAATCTATAGTTAATATGATGGGTTTTGAAGAACTAAATAATCATTAGATTTCAGCTTTTCCCATGTTATACAAGTTGTTGAATAATATATCAGATCAATTCGTTTTTCCTCGTCGATGTGCACAATGCTTAGATGCCCTTTGATGCAATCGATTATCTATGGGCAAAATCAGGCAAAACGGGACATACACCCCCTTCATTCGATTCTTATTCTCCAGACAGGCTTTCTTTTTGAATAATTTCTTTTATCGCTGACTTATGTGAAACTCTTTGCTCTTTCACATGACTATTAATTATTATTAATTCAATAATTAAGTCATCAATTAAAAAGTAATTAGTGATTTTCTTGCAAACGGTATGAGAAAAAAGCCTGGAAATTTCAGAATAGACTCTAGAGTCCAAGCTGCATCTGTAGTAAAATTTTCAGTCAGATTGGATTTCAAAAAATTTCCTCATAAAAACTGGCTCCAGAAATGAGCAATCAAGTGTAGAAACAAATCTTATTATGTTATTATAATCCCTGGACTCTGAGCAGGGATTTGTACGATTTTCAATCTTTTCAAAATGTTTTGTTCGATTATGAAGATATCTTTTCGGTAGTCTATTCGTACTTCATCACGTCGCCAACGAAAACTTCATACGTTTGACAGAAAAATCTAGACATGCTCAAGGAAGCATATGCATACGCATGTTGTAATCCGAGATGGTGACTACTGGATATCGAATTTAGTTTTCTAAAATTATGTGGCAGCTTGGAGTTTTTTGAAACTGAAGTCCGTCAAGTGAAAATCAGTGTCCTTTTTTGGATCACGTCGCTAACGACTGTTTTTTCCAGATAATTCCTATCAACGAAGCTCCTTAGTACTTATTTCTGCAGGATATCTAGAGTCATTTACGATCCATATAATGTATAAAAAGCAAGTCTACAAAAGCTCACTGTTTCAAGATATAGATATTTGAATTTTACACAATCACGTCGCTAACAAATAATTTTGGCCATATAATTGATTAATCACTAGGGAGATTCTATGAGTGTCTATCGTTGATTTTAATAATGCTTTGGTACCAGAAAGTACTAATATCTCTATCGAATTTTTAATAATTCAATATTCAACAGAATATTATAAGACTTCACATGTATGAAGAAACCTTCTTTTTTAAAATTTTATCCTACGCAATCCTTTCATTAAAAGATTTCACGTATATTGACTTATCCATAGAGCTTCACAATTTTGTCTTCAGAGTTATTATGTTTCGAAGATTAATAAATTCTCTATATCTCGATAGATAGTCAAGTTCTGCTTTATTGTGATTAATACTACGACGCAATATTCGTTTCCATGGGGACAACATTGCAGAAATTAGAAGAGGCTCACACTTTTTGTCTTGAAATATTTCTTTCACAATAGCAACCGCAGCGAATATAAATACGAGATTTGTGATAGCAGAAAGAATAGTTCACGATTTGAAATGTTTTCTTCACCATTCAATTCAATTGTGAGAAGAAAAATCCTAACAAAAGAAAACAAAAATTCTTACGATTCCATTGTTGTGTTCAATCAAAAACATATCGAAAATAAGTATTTCCAGTAGAATAGATCTATTTCAGTAATATGAGATGTTGCCGAGCTCTTCGTGTCCTTTCTTCGTCCAACTACATCCAATTTATGAATATTCCCTCGAGCCATTTGTCCATTGTTCTTATTTTTTTCGGAAATTTGATCCTTTATGCTTCAGGGTTTTCCCATGAATTTAATATAACTAGCTGCAAAAGTCATGAAATGTTCGGAAGCATCTCATTTTATTTGGATATAGGGGATCGGTTCGATCTATTCTGGCAAGTACTCGATAAAAGAATGTCAAAAATACAAGCATACTCAACTTGTTGATTTTTTGTTTTTCATATTGGGAAATCAGCTGCTACAACTAGATTATATGAAAGGAATCTGTAGGGGCGTATAAATTTTAATCAAAGACTATTTGTTATTCATCATAAATTTTCTTAGTTTAGATCAGACCCACGTATTGTTAAGTAAAGCCTATAACATATTTATCATCTACATATTCCATTGAGTTTCTTTGTTGTTTTTTTTAAGTACTCATGCATCTATGAAGTAAGACAGCTTTGTATTAATATTCTATTTTAATTATAGACGTAAAACAGTGTAATGGATTGTCATTTGTAGCTTATATTCTATTCATCTTGACATATCAGAAATAATGTAAGACTCTCTTGATTAAAAGCAACAACATTGTCATAGTAAAGCTTTTCCCGTATCTCATTTTCTTTTGTCTCTTGAGACTCTAGATAGAAAACATCATCAGGAGAGAAAAACTCCTAATTTTTACTTACAAATCAAATCTTCATATTTATTCATATTAGCCGCAATATTTGACATGATTCACATATTAAGATACTTATTTTTGGCTTCGTGGCCAACAATGATTGTTACATGAAACCTACTCGATGTTTGAGATTTTTAATAGTGAAATAGGGACTATAGAAAATACGAAATGCAGAAATTTATAATTATATATACATGATCCTAATAGTAATTATTAGTCCATCAATGGATAAAAGTTTTTTTTTTCGTTTAGTTTGTCAGTTGCTTTGGTTATCATATTACTGATTTTCTGGTAAAACCGATGCGGACGACAATTTAAATATTGAAATAACGAAGAGATTTTTATAAAAAAGACTAGATTTCATATTTGATGTGTTGGCATAAATAACAAGAAAGCGGTAAGACGTTCTATCAACACAATAAGTCACGATTTTACATTTCCCCTCCTTTTCTCTCTCTGTCTCTCTCTCTCTTCTGATTAATATAAAAAGCATATAGGATACGATAAACAAGTTGGTATTAAATAGACTAAAAAATGATTTCATTTTTCATTGAGTACGACCGTCTCTCTTTTATTAGCTTTGTTCTAATCGTAGACATTGATGAGTTGATCGATTCACTACTTATTATGTCGACTATATAATAAGTGTTTCGTTTATCTTTTCTAGAAAATAATAGTCTTGTGCATTCCCGGTAAGTAATAAAATTATCAAGTCTAGAGCATTTTGCTGTAGGCTACAAAAGATGTTTTTCATAATTAAGCAAAAAAAAAATGACTAGCTATTACGATGTTATCGATCCAAATGACTGAAGTCATATCTTATTCGTTATTCATCAAGAAATTACAAATTTGTATATTTGCATCGTAATGCAGTGATGAAAAATCATAATATACAAATAACTAGTACATGGCATGTATATATTTATCAAGGATATTGTTGCTACATGATCGTCTCTTATTTCAATAATAAACTTGTATTGTGTTATCCTATTTCACTTGAGAAAAGCAACTTTTGTTTTGATACATGAATGCGATAATAAGACGTGATACGTTTTGAACGATCAAACGTATTTATTTTGTTGAGAATTCCTTATAAAATATTTATATAATAATATTGAGGAAATATTTTATTTGAACTTGTCTTCCTTTCTCTGCTCACTCTCGACAAGCTATAATCCGATGCTTATGTCATAGCTCATTTCCTGTGAGTAGACTCTTTTATCTTCGGCTTCTTTTTCCCGTTTTCTTTTTTGTTCGGTACGAGTCTGTATGAAATGTAATTATAACAAACGTAGAGTTAGGCAAGCACTAGACATAAGCGAATGGCTGCAGGTCATTGGCAACTTTCTTCTTTTCATGCCTATATACCAAAAAGAAAAAGAAGAAAAAACACCGACCAAGTGAGAGATCGTCTCGTTTCATCAATCCATCTCTGCTCTGGTGACTACTGGCTACTAATAAGAAACTAGACTTTGCATGAACGATCGTTTTTTCTTTCTCTCGCCGACTATTTTCTATGTACGAACGTTCATTCTCATGTTGTACAACAAACCGAGTTTGATTGACGGAAAAAATGACGATGTCAGAATCGTCTGTAGTGACCTCGATATATGCACGTTTATTCATGTAACTTCACTCCATATTGTATATGTTTACTTCCTTCGAGTTGCAACTTACTATGTGCGTATGTATGTACATATGGGTATATATACTATGTATGATTAGGACAAGGGAACATGACGACAACAAATAATGAGTGAGACCAATCGTTAGTAACACAAGAAGAGCACATAAGTAAAACACAATGTTCTTTATATTTAAGTATTCGTTCATTTCGTTTAGTATATACGTGTTGACAATCGCCAGACTCCAATTATGAGCGTTAAATGTTAGTATGAATGAACAATGAATTATTGAAAGAGGCTACTTGTCTAACGACAAATTCTACTCATCATATTTACATTTGTATTTGTATACATATGGAAAATTGAAAAATGATGCACATATAACACATACGTATATTGATTCATAATAATATACATTTGTATATATGTGTGCATAGTGGTGGTATCAAATGATACAGAAAGAGGAGAAGAAAGACAACAAGCTGTGTAAATTCATCATTGTCATTCTTTCGGTTTTCAAATACGACATTGCACACTACACATCATTCTTTTTCTACTCATTCACTCACAGGTTATTAATTATTCAACTTGTCTTCATTCATTCTTTTTATCTCTTCTGTTTGTTTCTATGTGAGTTCAGTCCAAAAGAAAACTATAAACTGCCCATTGACACAGACCTGGTCTTTTTCAGATAAAGCACTATTTACTATAAATATAATCAAATTTATAATAATATTATGTTATCTAACGAACGTCGTCGACATCATCGATCATTATTAGAAGCACCCAGAATTACAGCAATGATCAAAAAATCGACTCCAGGTACTTTATCACCTGAAACAACAACAACAACTTCAAGCGGCTATTCAACAGGCGGTTCATGTATATCGAACACGAAAGAATCAAGCTTGAAAAAGTCATCATCAATTGCCTACAGGCAGCAATGCCATCAGCAACAGCACAAGACACAATCAAAGGGTAAAAAATTGAGAATAAAGCACACGCGGTAAAAGAGCTTATCTACGCTCAAGATATTTCTATAGAGTAGTTCTAAGCATGACATTTTCTATATATCTCTGTATTATTCCATCATCTAAATACTGTATCTATCTATCATTCTGTTCTCTAACAAAAAGAAAAAAAAAAAGAAAAAAATATATGGCCATTGTACCAATTTGTCTACATTTGTCCTTGACAGAAAGTATCGGTCTGAGTCGTTCTTTTTCCAATGTAAACAGAGATTATTTTTCTGTCGTACCTCCTACTATTCTAGTGTTAAGATTCTGATAAACATGTTTTTGTTTCTCAATCTGTTTTTCAAGGTCTTCATAATCTATTGTCTAAGCTTAAAAATCTTCTTCTACCATCTAAAACCAACGATATAAGTTCACAAAAAATGCGGTCAACAACATCAAGACAAATATCATCGATCAATATACTACGTCAATATCATCCAAATTCAATAATATACGATAAAATTCCACCTTCTTCAATAGCTATAAGTAATGCTATTTCATTACCATTTACATATTATCATAATTCACCAATACAACAATCGAGTGGTAATTTTGAAAAAATATCTGCATGGCTTGATTATACAGAAAAAATGGCAAACACTGCACAAAATGGGCATGATTCATTATTTATTAATTCACATAAACCAAAAATAACTACATCGTCATCTTCAGTACAACTTAATAAACAAGGTAAAAAAAACTAGAAAGTTCTTAATTGATTGTCTTCTTTTAAACTTGATCTTCAAGTGATCGACAGCACTTGACAGGGATGTACATATTCATATATAAATATAATATCTTACTTTCGAGTTAAATTCTATTTTTGCTTTCCATTGTCTTCGACTAAATTTAACCTCGAAGTTGACTCATGTCTTTAAGTGTGTTGATGATGGTATACAACATATGACATGCTTACATGCGTTGCTTGACTCCTGAATGAATGTTAGAAGAAAGAAAGAACGAGACGAAGCAAACACCTCACCTCTATGTAAAATTGAAGATGGATAAAGAACACTACTAGGGAAAAGAGAACAAGAAGAAGAAGTAAGCTGAAACGAAAAGCACGCCTACTCGACAAAATTAAAACTTTGTTAGAGCTCACGGTAGTGTTGACTGGAAAGAAAACATCAATTTTAATAGAATAAAAAACAGAATATTTTAATACATGTAAGTTACGGTAACTAAATTCTTGTTTTTTCTTGATTTCATAATGGAATACATCTACTAATAATCATGTTTATAGAAAACAAAAGTCCCTTCAACTTGTGAAACATGATATTTATACTTTGTTTTAATAAAAAAAAGAAAGGAAAGAAAACTTCATATACTCGTCTCTATGATGTATTTCTATCATATCATTCGATTAAATTAAACATTTAATTTTAGTCTTTTGATTTTGTTGTGGCAACAGGATAAAACAAATGTTTGCTTAGGCACAGCAGAATCCATAATAATGCCCACGATGTTTCCTCTGCTTTTTCTCTTTAGATTTTGCCATACAACGTTACGTATGTGACAGATTTGTATACAAAATTCTTTTTATACTCAAAACTACCTTTTCTACCTTGCCAACCACCTTGCATTTATTTGAATATTATAAACATCAATAATCTATAAGAATAAGAGGAGAAAAGAAAAGTAAAAAGAAAACGAAGTAAATTGTAGGAGGTAGTGGCAGCACAGCCAAAGTAAATATACACATTCAAGGTGTATCTGTGTATGTTTTAGCAGTCACTGTCGTTATGAAAAACACTCGAGCGAATATCAGACCGCCGAAACGAAGTTCATCATTAGTCGCACGAATCACTCAACCAATAATCGAACAACAATTTCAAAAGACTATTTCTCCTGCTTCATCGTTTTCTTCATCGATTCTTACACGAGGAATGTCAGAACGAGCCACTCCGCCATCGTCACCAACAGAAAAAACTGATAAACATTCATCGAAGTCTAATCGTCAACGTCCAGTTGACTTTTCACGTCGACGTACCATCGCTTCAACAAACGAACATAATTCAAATAAAGAAAATTCTTCAACAAAATATCAACATCAATATCCACAAGATATCTATCGGTTTTCTCCTGTATCATCTAAAAATAAAGTTGAAATTCGTATTCCATCATCGAAACCTGTTGTAGCAAAAGAATATTATTTTCATTCGGATTCAACAGACACAAATGAAGATTTACTAAATAATTCCTATGGTTTAACACTACTCAAACAACAAAAACAGCCCACACCGCCACAACCAGTTCAACCACGACATTCCGTAGCAACCGTTCTTATGATATCACAAGTTCCTAATCATATTTTGTCTGAAAAACAATATAATCCTCGAGCGTATCTTCAACAAGATTATTCACTTGACTCATTGGATGATATATTATGTGATCGTGAAGTTGAAAGTTATTTTTATCCAACCTCTCAATCAGATCATTTATATATGAATTTTGAAAATTCAACGAATTCTTCTTATCAACCATCGTTGTCTTATTTTCATGAAACTTTATGTTAAATTTAAATGTAATTTCATGTCTTCTTTCTTTTTTTTTCTTTTCTAATTTTCATTTGTTTTGTAAATACGAGAAGAAATGTTTTTTAGTCGCATTGAACACGTTTGTTATCAACGTAGAACCAAGCATGACAACCACCACAATAGTTGGCTCTGCGGAAAAAAAAATTTAATACGATATTTTTTAGAAAAATAAAGAATTTCATCAAGAAAATCTACCTGCATGAAGCGTTTGGATGTTTCGCACACTTAGCTAAACCACAGGGGTTCATGAAGCAATTTACGGTAACACATTTGCCTACGAGATTCATTAAATCGATACACGAAGAATTGTTTTCTAATTACGTACTTTCTGGGGTTTCAACTGATGACGCTGATTCTGGGACACTGCCTATACATAAAAGAAGAAATCGAATATTTCACTCTATATGTAATCAATTCATACAATCCACTGTTTTGCCATTTAAAGACCAAACTGCATTACAACCACCACAATAATTTGAACTGATAAATACGAACCATTTTTATTAGATTTCTTTGTCTTTTTTTAAAATTTATACTTACGTGCATTTTGCAGCAGGATGTGCAGGACATCTTGAGACCTGTGAAAGCTTTTAATTGTTTTAGACAAAAAATAAACATCTTACATACTTGACATGGGTCAACAAAACAGTTAACTTGATTTAAACAAAGGGGACCAAGAAACACAGGTTTAACAGCATAAGATGACACTTAAAGTAATCTTTGTTTATTAGAAAAACAAAAACACACAAGGAAAAAGTAAAAGTTTCATTTACCTGCAAAAAGAACAGCAAACACGACGACAATAGAAAGCTGCATATTCGTAAATGATGAAAAAATATATCGAAATAAAAAACGAATATTTTTTTGTAAAAGTATAAGCTTTATGTCTGTGATGAAATTTATGCGATAAACAACAGGTGCATGAAGTTTAATCTTTAAAATGATTAAAAACTATATCATTCATATCGTTTCATATTGAAATTATTCGAAACATAGAATATTATTGTCGACATTGATCAAGTGCATATTCGCTTTATTTTCTTCTTGTTCTTCTTCGATTTCACATGACATATTAATGAATGATAGAAAATGTGAACTCGATATAAATTTAGTTTTTAATACTTCATTTTCACTATTTAAACAACAACAACAATGTTCAACATCTACTTGTTCATTATTTTCAAGTGAAAATTTTTCATTTAATATGATATGATGTAAACGATAATGATAATTTTGATCAAGTTTAAAAACTAATAATTCATTTTTCGATAGCGAATATAGCATATCCGAAAGATAATAAATACTACCAGTCTGCTCTTTTAACGTTATAAAATGATTATTAATCGGTAGATTTTTATAGGATAAAGATAAGAATATATTATTATTAAGAATAATATAATTCGATGATGTATAGAGAATCAATGAAAGTGTTGGTGATGAAGACTATGAAAATAAAATTGAAAATAATGATTTTATGATTAGATGATAATTTTTCTTCTTTATACAAAATATCAAGATTATTTTTATCATAAGAAATTTTTGTTTTGTTCTATCAAATAAATTCTTATATGTAATCTTACTCTTGAATCAATAGTTTCTTCTATTGCAAAATGAGTTATTATAGAATCTGTTTGTTTCGATAATTGTAATTGATGTTGACGATGATATAGATGATTTTTCCATATTAATGATTGCTTTTCGTTTGTGTTAGCTATCAATGTGCCTAACCAACTATTTTCATTTTTATTTTCTTTGACAAGTATTATCAATTTTTGATAAGATTTAGGCGAAAGTTGGCAACTATGCCAAGCAATAAATTCATAACTTTGTTGGTTTTCATCGAACAGAATAATTATTTGTTTTGAGTCTTTATCGTGAATATCGTATGTTGTTTGTGTAGACGAGATAACAGTGGCAGTTAGAATTGACATTGTCTGACAACTGACGGAACGTTGACATCTATACTAAATAAACAATAGAAAACAGAAGGTTATTATCGTTTAATAATTTACTTTGCCATTGTCGCCGGTGAATTTTCAGATGATATTTGACGATCACATATAGTTTTTAGTGAATGTTGATCATCGAATTTCGTTTCATTTAACCCTACTGAGCGTGATAAAGAATGCATGTGGATATTTGAAGAATTAATAATTGCACGTAATCGTTGTATTTCTTCAGCATATTGCTGAAGAAGTACATATGATGAATTCTCATTAATTATAGGTGTATTACGAATATTTTTTGTACGAGATGCATAACTAAAATTGAAAATATTGAATGCTTTTATATCTATTTCAATCATTGGTTAATTATCGAGTCAAGTAAATTAGATGAAAATTTTCTTTTTATGTAATCGAATAGAAATTGATAAATATTCATTTAATGAGATCGGTTAAAATTGCAATGCCTTGAGTACTTTCTCGAGTCCTCAAGGCAGACAGCTTCGATGTCAATTCGAATGAGATTAATTTTTACGTCTGTGAACGCTCAAGTTTACGCTTAATATGAAGCGTGTCTTAATTGAATCGTCGTACTCAATGTTGTTTTTGTTGAAGAGTACTAGGGGAACATCATTGCATCATTGAATATATTAATCATGTATAACATCTACAGTTCACTGAACCAATAATTCATTGAAAAATGATGTGCTCTCTTATTAACTACAATAATATAATGTAGGAGTAAATTGGATTTGTGTCTCTATTTTTATATACATCAATAAATACTACTTTCATTTTTGATTGGATATATTATAAAAAAAATAATCAAGAGAGAAAAACTAGATTTAGTTCGACTGTACACATCATAATTTGACAAAAAGCAGAAACATCTAGGTATCCTTACGATATTTATCATTGATCACAAAGAAATCATTATAGCTCAAATGTCTACGCTAAAATAAACGATGTATAGGTGTAATCTCCATAACTCGAGAATAGTTAAATCGATCGAACTTTAATATTTCAACAATGTAACAAAATGAATAAAGAATGCACGAAAAGAGTGTTCTGTTTCAAGGAAATTTATATCAAAGCTTAAAAATAAACCGTTTACTATATAATCTGACAGTAGCGAAACATGATTATATTATAATCGATATATAAGAAGATAATCACGGTTAGACGTGCGTCTAGCTATATATCCGATATCTGTCTATCTAAATCAAATGACATAAGATTGAAATGACATTTGATTTTCAATCATTTTTTTAAATAGTTTACTAAGATGAGCAATTTGATTATGATTACATCTTCTATAGTATCACAACTACGACTGTGTTAAAGATCTTCTAATTCCGAACTATTTACCGTAGTGTACATAATGTTTCATCATAGTTATCTTCAGAAGGTGATATACATGCAATCATGATTGTTTTAGTAGTTCCACCAATACTATCTTGTAAAAGACGTGTTAATTTCGAGTCTCGATATGGTATATGTGTTGTATTTGTTTGTACCAATGATGATATAACTTTGTTTAGTGCTGATAAAGATAAGTTAATTTTTGCTGATTCAAGTAATTGTTGACCACTAGCACCAGTTTTTATTTGACGTTCACTACCAGCTGGAAAAAAAATATATTGACGAATATAATTGTTGAAGACAAGAAGAAGTCGATAAAATTAAAGAAATTACCAAGATCAACAAAATTTAATTTTCCTTGACGAAAAAGTTTTGTTTCACTATTATTTTGATATTGAATTGAAAGTGAAAACATTGTATGTGATCTCGATGAATCTCGGTTCATTTGTGTTGAACCCATGGTTCTTGCTAAATCACCGAAACGTTTAAATTTTAAACATTCATCGATTGAATAAACATTTTTCCATGTTAGATTTGTTATATGTACACCTGATGAACGAGGATTTTCGCGTAGTTCAAGACGTGAAGATAATTTTGATGAATTACGCGGTAAAAGTAAATCATGTAATTCTTCATTATAAACTAAAATTTATTCAAATTCAATTTTATATTTATAATAAAACTCTAAATTAAAATTCAATTCATACTTTCAAGATAAGCACATTTTATTGTAAATTCGTGTTCATAATTTGATTGATGAATAAGATTAAATACATTTTCAATAGCAATTGAAATTAATCCATTTTCTGATTGACATTGACAACCAGCCATTGTCCATGATTTACCTATTGCATAGGTCATTTAGATATGTGTATATGTTGTAATAAAATTACAATCTACTACCAGATCCAGTCTGTCCATAAGCAAAAACAGTACCGGAATAACCGTTTAATGTCACATCAGACACTAATGATTGAATAAAATCCTGAAATATATGTTCTGTAGGATGATTTTCATCATAAAACGAATCAAATCGAAATAAACGTGATATTCTTCTACGATATCTTTTCGGACTGATCAATTTAATAGTACATTGACGATTTTTATTATCTAATTGTTGAATATCAATACATTTTATTGAATGATTTATGATTTCTGTCTGATTAAATGGACGACAACGTATTAATACTTTAACACTTTCTGATTTATTTGAAAGCATATTTTTAAATATTTTAAATTAAACGAAGAAAAAAAAGCACTTGCTTTATAAATGAGAATCTTCAGCTAGAATAAAAACGAAAGTTAATTAGCGCTAAAGATTTGTATTTATTATTGTCAATATAAATGGAAAACACAATAGACACAAAAAAAATGAGCGAATTATACAAAAGCATATAGTATGTGACACAACCTGAGTTATGAACAAACAATGAGAGACATGTTTCTAATGATATTTTATTTATTTTCCACTTGGAACAACAAGTAATCGTTGTATCTGACTTTCTAAACTGCGGCGTGCACGACGTTCTTCTTCAAGTTCTTGTTGAAGTGCTCGAAATCCTAAACGAAATTCATTCATCATATCAAACATTGCACGACGATCGCTAAAAATGAATGAAATATCGTTGATTTATTTACCAAAAAATTCAGACTTACACATCAGTATTTGTCGTATTCGTTAACTGACCATATGATAGTGGAATGCTTGAATGATCAGACAAAACATTTTGTTGTCCACCAACCGATGTTGATGGATGTTCGAGATTACCATTATTAGTAGTTCCTATGAGAATGAAAAAATGATGATTGTTTTATTCTATAATTGATTTCAAATCTACCAGTTGCTGATATTGAATAGCGTGTTTTAGACACAAGAGAATTTAGGCCAGCAATAGCAGTGCCACTATTCGTATTTGTTACGCAATATGCTTCAATAACAGAAAGTAAAAGTGCATCACCTTCACTTGTTTCAACTAAATAGATAAATTTAATAATATCTTTATGTTTTGCTTGTTAATTATTGTTTACCTCTTTTAAGAAATTCATTTGCTTTCGATTTTTTCATTGTCATAAATCGTTTTAGTGTTCGATTAGATCCACTTTCATTTGGAGTATTTGATGAATCATTCATATTCATACCAGTTCCCGATGATGGTATTGGTGAACCTATTGAGTTTGTGCCCGTTGTCGTCGTTGACGAGTGACTACCCATAGAACCTTGTTGTCGAGGTCGTAATGGAGAATGTGGCCGAAGACAACCTTTAGACCATGCTGTAGGTGTTAAATTAGTTTTTGGTGCAGGTGAAAGAAATGGATTCTTTATTGAAGTATTGACAGCACTGTATGGAGATGATTTTGTTGTTTGGCCAGTTAATGATGACGAGGACTAAAAACAAAAATATTGATTTCGATATCATCAACAGCATAACCTTTTGGGATTAAAATGTGAAATTCATATACTCAACATAAACTCTATCTGTTTTTCGATAGTCTTCAGAATTACTAAGAAAATGTTTTTTCTTGATGATTTTTCCCCTAAGATTAAATTCTCGTGGATGCGTCATTATAGAAAAATCTTAAACAGAATGTTGATTAGTTTTTAATAAAGAATTTCTTTTTTTTCTCATATGATAATGAAAAAACAAGCGATGAATGTTATGACGTATCCAACAACTACTGTCAGAAGAAAAAAGATTGAATCTCTTGTTTTATTAGTTTAATTCTACAATTTTCTCTAGTTGATCTTTAAAATTGAATCTATGTATTGTTCGTTGTACAAATTTGCTATCTCTACCTAAATAATTATGAATGATCAAACAACGATTGAAAAATCACAATTAGCATTTTCGTTAATAAAAATTAGACCTTGACAGATACTTTAGGAATCTTAAATTGCACACCCTATATCAATAAGGTCTCATTCTAATATTTGAACTATTTTAGACTGTGTCAAACAAGTGTTGTTTCACAAATAAATTGAATAAAAAAATGCTCTCTTTGAATAGGAAGAGTATCAGTATTAAGTTTCACATTTTCATCCTACAAATGTTATGCTAACAGTTTAATGTTTCATCCTGTTTAAATACTTTTGAAACTTGTTGAGGTGTATAAGGCGAATTAAGATTATGTTGATGATAAGATTGAGGTGATTTTGGTGTTATTAAGGAACAAAATTTTTCACACCATTCATGATATTCAACTTGACTAGGAAATGATATGATCATTGATTGATTTGCTGGTGCTAAAACTTTTATTATTAAATAATTAGTATTATATGGAAGGTTTTTTGAGACCAAAATTAAATTTTCATACCATTAATTTTTAAAGCACGTTTCCCTAACACATTATCATCAAGAATTTTACTAACAGTTATTTGATGTATTGGAAAACGATTCTAGCAAAAGAAAAGAAAATAATAAAAGAAAAAACAAAAGAAATTAATTTTTTAAAATATACCTCAACTTGATATTCTTGTTGAGCATTCGAAGATTTTATTGATGAAAGAAGAAAAAGTGTCGATTGATAAAGTATTGCAATACGTTCAAGTGCAATTTGCCCAAGAGTTTCAGAAAGAATATTAACAGGGCTCAGACAAATGGCATCACCAAATGAAATCAATGACTAAGTAAAATATTAAAAAATCTGTTTCTTTTTCTTTCCAAACGAAATTCTATTTTACTTCAGAACTAAGTCCATGTATAGTACTATGAACTATATCAAGTTCCCATTCTTTACGTTTACGCCATTCTGCACCAGAACACTAAATAAACAAGAAACAGATCTTAAGATAATCAAAATAGAATTTTCTTTTTTTACTTACAGCTAATTCAGCATAATATTCTGCTGCTCGTTGTGCATCACCACGATCGATATGAAATTCCTTTTGAAAAATAAAATTCGATTCGTTTAAATTGAATAACAATGATTTTATTTTTACTTCAAGATTGTGTAAATATTCTTTAAGTAGATTTGCATATTTTTCTAAACGATTTAAAGGTAGCGATAGATTTTTAATTAATTGTATGTAGGCATGATTTGGATCAGTGGATGAATCAACTTTTGCTAATGCTGTTAATATTCGATCTCTATTTAATATTAAAAATAATTAAATAAAACCAAGAATAAATGAAGTATAGTGCTTACTTATTATGACTAAGTAAAAACAGTGCCTTCGCATGTTGATAACAATATGCTTCTAAGATTGGCTTTAGACTTGGAGCTAATTGAAGAAAGATTCCACCAATACGATGTTGAGTTCTAAAAAGTAAGTTTTTTTTCCAATTACAAGAAATTATTGGATTCTCTATTACTTCATTGTATCACGTAAAACATGTGCCAAATGTCGGTGAAATTTAATTAATTCATCAATATAATGTACATCCAAATAGAGATGTGGCTGACCCGATCTATAGAATAGGAAGAGTATCTGTAATAACCAATATAAGTTTCGATAAGATTGATTATTTACGTTGAAAGTGTATGAGCCAATGGTTGAATTATTTTTACATAGAAGTCTTCTAAATCTGTTACATAACGTTGTTCACCTTCGAGTAATGATTCGAGAATCTAGTATGAAGAAAATGAATTCATCATATAACATGATCCGAAGAAAACTATATCATTTGAACTTTAATCGATATTGAAAAGGTTAATATGAAATAGCAAGAAATATTTAAGATTAATACTGATGGAACCATTTTTGTTTGTAATATTTAAGAAGATAAATTCTAATTTCTATAGAACACTTCTGCAATTTGTAGCTCAGAAAACGTAACAAATGGAAGTCATTAATTAGTTGCTTTGATGAAGATCATATTCTATACATCTGTGTGTGTGTGTGTGTGTGTGTGTGTGTGTGTGTGTGTCTCCTATGATAATTACTTTAATGTTTCAAGCAACCTTTAGTTGATAATCTTATTGTTTTCTATTACATAATTCGTTCATAGGTCATCAACAACAACTCAATATTAAAATTAAAAATTGTATTATTTCTTTAGATAAAGCTTATTTTTCAAAATTCTGTATTTTATTTAACTTACTGTATCTCGATGTGTACGCATTTCTGCGCATTGTTGCGATGATGCACTTTGTGTTGATGGTGTTGAATCTAAATATAAGTATCAAAACAAAAAAAAAGTACAGAATATTTCAATATGATTCTGTAGAAAAAAAAATTGATTTTTGTAATTATTAAATTCGTTAAAATTATCATTTTTAAACATGTATCAGTGATTATCTCTGTTATGTTTTTTAAGTGTGTACGTGTGTGCATAATTTTATGTTCAGTTTATATAAATTAAATATTCCATTAATTATACGAATAAACATTTTTAATTCAAATAAGCTGTCAATAATTGAATTTTTCAGATGAATAACTTTTTACGTACGTGTTTTACAACCAAATATGCGACATGATACGCAACTAGTCGATCGCATCGAAATAGGTTGACTGAATATTAATAGCAATAATAACTAAATGTTAACCACAGTTACTATTTTTATGGGCACGCGTAGATAGACGATGATGAGAATGAGTTCTGTCGAATATATAGAAGAACGGGCAAAAAGAAACAGAAATTGTCCTTCTTATTTTCTTCTCATTTACTATATGCTTCTTCTGCTTGTTTGATGACAGGCATCAACAATATTAGTAGTATTTATTTGTTATAGTAATCGTAGTGACAATGTCGATTGATATGATATTAGCGCGAGGCAAGCACGATCTCGATAGAAGTATATGTGTAAATGTTAATTGATTTATCTTTAAATACCTGTCTTGTGTATAATTTGTTCAACATAATTTGATGGAAACCATCCAGTTTTACCATCTAATGTTCCTTCCCACCAGCCACCGTCCGATGGAGCTTGTGTTATTACAATAGAGTCATTTTTAGCAAATGATAGCTAAAAATAAAAAGAGACAATAAAATCATTTTTGCTTCATCTTTATATTAATCAAGTATAAGAATGGAATTAATCTATCAGAAACACTGCTAGTATTATTTCTTTTGTTCATTATGACGTAAAGAAAATATTTATCCAAGGTTCTGTTTTTCTTGATTGTTGAATAAAGGTCAAGATTTATCAGTATAACAGAGACATTAATCAGACATCTTTTATTTTATAAATAAACGAGAAAGAAAAAAAAAGATTTACTTCATCAGTATTTTGTGCTTTAAAAGCATATAATGCAGTAACTAAGGTCTTTCCAACATTATTTTGTTGTTCCATTGATTAATATTTATCTGAAAGAAACAAGAAACTTATTTTAAATATTTTATAAACCAATCAAGTGCTTCTTTGACGACGATTTCAAAAGATTGCTCATTTGGATAAACGGAAAAATGTCCACCGTCAACTAAAACTAAACGTTTAGGTTCTAAAACTTGTTTCTCATATGCATCAATCTGATCTTCAGTCGATGTAATTGTATCCTGTTTAGCAACAATCATCAACAATGGAATAGGAGATAAATCTATAAGACTTTTCCATGGCTCATACTGACTATATAAATGTATAGAACGACGTGTCATATGATTTATCCATTCGTTACAATTATATTTATCAACGAAAAAATGATAAAAACTATTTGATAAATCCATATTTTCATTAGCTTGATTTACTATTGGAATATATTCTCGATTTTCATATAAACAATGCTGATCTTCAGCAAGTATTTTTTGCCACTGTGGACGTCGTGCTAAATTATTTTTTCCACTTATTGTTGGTACTTGTGATACAATACATTTGATTCTTCGTTTCTCACGTTTACCAACAACAAAAACATGTCCACCAGAATAAGATGTACCCCAAATACCAATTGATATATTCTTATTATTTAATCGATTTTCTAGATAATTCATTGCATAACTATAATCATCGATTTGACTATATGGATTAATATCATGTCGAGGTTGTCCATCACTTGAACCAAATGTTTGATGATCATAAACAAGAACATAAAAATTTCCATCACAACAAAATGTTCGTGCAAATTCATCTAGACCCATTTCTTTTAAACCTGAAAATCCATGTGTCATTACGATTGCACTTTGACTCGATGATGATGATGATGATGATGATGGACAATAAAGCCAACCACGTAATATAACATTATCTTTTCCGAAAAATTCGATGTTTTCTCTTCTGAAATTCATCTATAAAATACGAAGAAACCGATATGATTTATAAATTACTCGCTATTAAATACATATACATTCACAATAAAGATTTGGATGATTATGATTATGATTACTACACAATAATTTGAAAGCAAAAGAAAAAAGATTCAAGACAGAAAATAAAATAATCAACAATGAAAATCATAAAAATAAAAATTTATTGCACGAGAGAAGCACACAAAGATGATGAATCTACGGTAATGTTTGATCATGGAATGAAAAATTGAAGGCAGCCTTGTTTATCTTCATACAACGGAGGACATATCCCAAATCTAAAAATAATACACAATTACTATATAGCGTATGAAATAGATTGTCTTGCAAAGAGTTGTTCATCGAAATCTTACAACAAAAATTGTTTGATTGTACCTCTCTAATTTCATAGATTCTCGGATATAAATTCTTTGGTCTAAATGGACAATAGATCCAATGAAGTCAATATAGCGACATCGAGTATCAAAAAGATTTCATTTTTCTTAGATCTCAATAATGAATATATTACAAACACGGATCGTGTTGTTATTGTTTTGCATACTCTCTCTAATGATCGCATTGAATATTTTATTTTATCATAGAAAATATTTTGGTTTCTGTCTGTCTTTCGATAATGATTCATAAATATCAACACTCACTTTAATTGTTCGATCAGTACCAATAGACATCATCACTTTTTTTCCTTGTCTATAATCCATTTTAATGGTACCTTGACGTAAATCATAAAATGAAGCCAACGGTACTGTTCTAAAGATACATACTTTCTTATCAGCGACAAAAGATAAAGAAAACAACAAAACTCACTCATCATTTCTCAATGTTTTTATACAATCGTCACAAATGCGTTGAACTGTTTCATAACCCAATAAAGGAAGGGCTTTACGTGTTTGAGCACATTTATCGCATACAGCTCGACCACATTTTCGACAATGGTGCTATAAAAGAAATTAAAGATCAAAGTTTTTATTTTCTTATGAATTATTTTTGTAACCTGTCTTAATCCAATTTGTTTTTGTGTCCACATCTCACGTATATTCCAAAAAAAAGGCATACGACATATCTGACAAGAATCATTTTCAAGCCATATCGTTGTTTCATTCCGTTTAACATTCATTGGCCACACACCAATATGACCATCGGCTGAACATGTTAATAATAGTTTACGTAAATTATCATACGATATTCCAACCAAACGATCTGAATGACCATTTAATTCAACAGCAACACCTTGAGGAGCTGCAAGATCCCAAACAATCACAGCTGTATCAAAACTACCCGAATATAACCATTTAGTGTCAGGATCCCATAAAAGATTTTGAACACTTCCTTAACGAAATAAAGACAAACTTCACTATATTTCTTCTATTATTGTTGTTACATACCTGTATGACCACTTAATGGTTTATTAGGTTCAAATCTATTATTAGCATTTAATTTCAAAAAATGTATGTTACCGGTTGAATCTCCAATAAAACACTGACGAAATGTTTCATCCATTGTTATTGACATACCCATTGATGCTAATGTATAGCTTCCACGTGCATTTTGACGATTTTCATCTATCGGATTTGTTGAATAACAGTTGAGTTTTTTTTCACGACACGCAGTTAACAACAACTCATGACGATATGAAAAATATACTGCTTGTATACGAATTTGATGACCAAAATAAGTACATTCTAATGTTATTTTATTGAAATCATCAGCAACAATAAATTCCTACAAAGATAAAATTATCCAATAGATGGAAGAAAATATTTGGAGATAAAGATTTATTTATTTTTTTACATGAACAAGACCTGAATCACAACCACAAAAAAGACGGCGTGATGGTTCGTAATAGTAGAGTGCAGTTGGTGAACCTGAAAAATAATGAATCGTAATATTATAAATACCAAACAAGCTTTCTATTTAAAAAAAATTACTTTCTAATGTATGACAAACAGAAGGCCAATATTTTCCTGTTTGTCTTCGTAACCAAACACGCAATGTTCTAGACAATGAACAAGCAATCGTTTGCATATAATCATAATATGTTACATAAATAATACCTATCATCAAGAGCTGTTAATATACCATCTTCGGAAGTGAGTAACAGAGCATCATTAATACCAACTTCAACATCTATTTTATTTAAAAGTTCCGGTCGACGAACTTTACCAACACCTTCATCGATTGCAGCCGCCATATATCTAACCTATTTGACAAAATCAAGCAACTATGGATCACTTAGTTAATCTTCATTAGAAGACCAGTAGGGAGAGAAGAGTAAGTAAGTAAGTAAGTCATGTATCAACTAGATATTCGCTACAAAGGATGACCAATCAGAATAAGAGAAAAAATTCTATAGATGTCCTAAAGAATATTTCATACTTCCATGTACTCACTATAGCGAAGGGTATATGATAACTCTTTAATACTGAGGCATAAAAAATTATTTATTTCCTTCAAACTAACTGTTGTTTAAAGAGAAAGAACAGAAAAAAAACAGATTTTGTCGAGTATTAGTAATTCGAGCGATAAAATATTAAGTTAAGTTCTTTTTCACAAGTGCATTTGAAGTTCGTCTCTCAGACTGAAACAAATAGTCTAAATGAATATCAATCAGAATTTATTTTAGAAAATAAATAACATCGAAAAGCAAATAGAGCCCTTTGTTTATTTTGATGACACATTTTATTTGACTGAATATTTTGAAGTAAACGAGAAGCAACATGTGTGATTAATATTCTTATCTAATCTGAAGTCAATTCTTTCTAGATATCTTTTTTTATTATTATTATCCTAATAATATTTAACTCCAACTTTCAAATATGACGTTTTGTATTCAGTCGGAATTCGAGACATTTTCAATGTAAGGAAGACATATTTGAGTTTTTCCTAGAACAATTCGTTCCATTCATCGTATCTGATCTTAAATGCAGCGTGCCAGACTCGACGAACTCTATCGAATACTATATTTCGATTTCACAATAGAATTAAGAAAAAACAAAGATATATCTAAACATGATTTATCATTATCACTAAGGGATGTAATGCACTAATTTCATATTACCTAAGTATGTTCCATATTTCACGTGTGTCCTATTTTCAAACAGCTTACATCAATCGATGGAACTCGAAAAGTTCTATCCAACGGCATGTTCAACACTGCCAGTTACAACAGTCTTGAAACTGAAATGCTCATTAAATCTAAAAAACGAAGCATTTTTTAATATGCCATTTGTCGATTCACTCTACAACGAGTGCCACACGAATCACTTGATTCATTCGGCTTAATTTGATGAGTGTGCCGATATTGATGACACGCTTCGATGATTCTCCTTCATTCTCTTTCTGTTCTCTTTCCATTGTTCTAATATCTCTCTCCCCTGTCTCTCTTCTATCTCTCTCCTATATATACGTGTGTTACGTATGAAGTTGGGACACTCTGGAGATGTCAGATGGCACAATACACCATCATGCCGACGGGCATAGGCGACACTCTCTAGTTTTGTCGTTACACTCTGGATAACTTGAAGTAGCGTAATAAACATCTTTGCCGAGAGTGGCACAAGCTACTCTAATCAAGTTGTTCGTCACAATGAGCTCTGTTAATTCATGTTGAGAAGACCCTCTCAAGCTTTGTTGTTAGATTCATCACACATTTGTTTGGAGATGACTCTGTTTACTAGATATACCAACGATTATATTTTGATACATCTCAGTTATTTCTATCGATTGATGTAATATTTACCACTGCTGATTAAAATGAACGGAGGAGAAAATTATTACATCGGTCTTGGGACATTCAATGATATTTATTTTTCATGATTGATCAAACTCACGTTAGAAGCTGCAACCGATTCTAACATGGAGAGCAACATTATTTTCATTTCGTTGAGCATGTTTGAATCAAGACAAATGTTATTAGCTTGCTCTTTAACAACTATTTAAGAACATCCATGAATAGTACTTGCGTATAGTTATTGCATTGTAAAAGATTTTCGTCAGCATGAAGCATATTGTTTTGATATGTTTTCAAAGTACTATGTTCCATCGTAACTGTAGCTGAAGAAAATTCGAGAAACTGTTCTGAATAGTATAAAGATTTGGATATTTTAACTTTGTGAAGTATTAGATGTGAATACATTCACTTTAATTTATTTGAGTTATAAATCTTTAGAAAAGTAACAAATCTTCTTGTTCACGCTTTTTTAAATTCATGGAAGAAAACAGTATCTTAATAATAATAAACATTGCTTATGATATGACATGGTAATTTATATTTGTGATGTCGAAATCTCGCTGAATCATCAATATAAAATGCCCAGGTCGAGCATTACGGCGATCAGAAACGACCGTACAAGGCCGAAAACTCTAGCTTATACTATCGTTTCTTGCCGTTTCCGACCGTAAATCGCCATTAGTTAACGTTTTGGCATGCACCGTATTACGGCCATGATACAGTCGGATATTTCAGTATCCGACAGCAAGATATGATCTGATCACAATACTAGGGATCCGAATGTTGGTCCGCGACCCGGATCCTATAAGGACTGCTCGGTTTTATAGAAATTCACATAAAATCCGATCGAACTACTCTCAGATCTGACTAGATCCGACTGCCAGAATAATTCTCCTTGGTATTTATTTTTATCGAAAATCAATTAATGTAGTTTTTTACATGAAGTTAACATTCTTTTATAGAAATTTTTCGAATTCATTTAAACGATGCTCAATATGAAATAATGAATTTAGGCCAAATAATATTCAATACTAGTGCATTAGCAATCTTCAAAAAATTATCAAACGTAAACAAATCAAGGATCTTAAGTTAATTTTTACTTCAAGCAAGAACAAAGTATTATAAGCACTTTTAGCTATTTTCTTGACGTCATAAATATCATATGTGTATTTCATGCACGAATATATCAAAGTATTTCAAGATAACCATCGTAAAGATATTCATTGAATAAAGAAGAATGTTGAATAAATAATTTCAGACCTGCTGCAACGTATAAAGTTTTCTTTTTTGATAGTAGAGTTGTTTGTGTCTTTAACTGATGTATATCGATTTAAATACGTTTATAATCTGATTCGCATCGGATTCGTTCTTCGCTTATACGTTCATCTCTTTTAGGTTTTAATTTACATTCAAATTGTGTACTTTTAACAAAATATGAAAATTTTTATTCTTTTATGAAATTCTACAACAACATTAGCATCACATGAAAAAAATAAATGTTACATTGAGTACATAACTGTTTGTTGTCAATTTTCAAAGGCATCATGTTAAGCTTTTCCAAAGGCTTCATCAAATTGTTTTAGACGATGTTTCATCAATGGTAAACATTTATTTAACAGAACATGTGCAACTGTTGAATCAGATCCTGTATTCCACAATTATACTTCAATATTTATCTTCAGTAAAATAACCTTGGCCGAACAATACGGACCGTAATCCAGGAAGGTGTTTTATGACAGTATTTTCTGCCGTATTTTGTCGTATACAATATACTTATCTCAGGTCGATCAACTTGGGTTGTACACAGCCGTTTGATCATAATTTACGGCCGTTTTTCATCATGCCAAAAACGATCGTATACGATTCGTCTGTCGTGACCGTATTCAATCACCCGAGAAGTTGATCAAGTATATAATTCAATACAGAATCAGTTAAACAAACTTTCCATTGTTCAATTAAATAAAATATACTATTTGATACACGTGAATTTCATGCGCTGAAAAAAAGCAAAGATACTCAGGTCAATGATTCCGGAGGACGGATATTGTAGGAACCGGCTGGAAAGATGCGGAAAAATCACTGTATTTGGCCGGAAAGCACGAGAAAGCGCTGGAAAGTGGAAGCAATAGTCCGGTCGCGAGTTGCCAGATTTTTTCCGGTGTATTCTGGTCAGTTTCCAGCCGGACATCACAGGAAACTGGCCGGTATCAGCAGGAAAGTGACCCAGCTATTTCCGACCGGAATACTGCTTCCATTTTCCAGCACTTTCCCGTGCTTTCCGGCTATTTCCCGCCGTACCTCCACGATTTGGGTAGCCAGGTCCATCAAAACCAACGACGTTGCGGCATCGGACTTACACGTTTTAACACAGTAGTAATACGGCTGTATTTTACCATACCGTGCACGGTGTGAACTAATCACATGCGTCTTGATTCAGATATGTTCAACGACATGAAAATAATGTTGCTCTCCATAGTTCGAATCAGTTACAGCTTCTAACGTGAATTCAGTCAATCATGAAAAAATAATTATCATTAAAGGTGTCAAGATCTATTGTAATAAATTTCCTCTCCGTTTATTTTAACCAATGGTGGTAAATATTATATCATCAATGTAACGTTATATGTGGAAAGCGTCCAAATTTCATCCGGGAGTGTAACCTATGCATGATATTTGGCGTTATGGCACAATTTTTTTTCATCTCACCCATTGCCTTTATCTTTCTGTACTTATGTGTCCGTATCTCTCATTCTCTCTCATTCTCTTTCGTTCTCTCGAATGGTTAAGTATTTAAGTGTGTGCTTTATATTTAATCGGTGCGATTTATGATATAAAGAAGTTAAATAAAGTGTAATACCATCAGCACGGGCATCTATTCTATCTAAAATCGTCACAATCAATAGAACTAAACGACATATATATATATATATATATATATATCGAAAGATTCAAAGATTCAATTAGCTCATACAGTCAATTGAATCTTTCAAAAATAAATCATCAGTACAATGCTACAAACTCATTTCAGTATCGTAACTTTTTTCAGGTATATTTAGCACAGTGTATGACTCTTCATTAAATCAAGATTAATCCAACGCAATATAGTAATGATTATCACATCTGTTTTTTGAATTTTCTAAAATAAGTTCAATCAAACTATAACACCGTAGATATTTGGATTGCTTTCATGCATTTAGTAATAATAATCATATGAAATGATACATTAATCGATGGAGCTCATCAAATTGAGTCGAATAAATCAAGTGGTACATATGAAATATCGAATATATTTAGGTAATATAATATTAGTACCTTTGTTTTGTTTTAATTCTATTGTGAAATCTAAATATAGTATTCTATAGAATTCGTCGAGTCTGGCACGCAGTATTTAAGACCAGGCACAATTGATGAAACGAATTTTCTAGGAAAAACTCAAATATATCGTTAAGGACGAGTCTCGATAAAGTCGCTTTTCTTTTTGACTCGCGTCAAGACGGTAACACATGCTTACGTTAGTCTTTTTCTGAAAAAAGACTAGACATACCATAAATAAAATAAGACGTCTGTTAATTGAGTAGTCAATACGTGATATGTGGACTACAGCTAATTCTGAACTAGTCCGGTACTCGAACTTTTTGAGAAAAAAGACTAGACCGGATATGGTGACACAACTAAAATAAGGACCAGTGTTTTTATCCTTCTTTTGCTCTCCTGGGTTGAAGCTTTTGTTTTGATTTTCTTATTTTATCGTGTCTTCATCAAATGTACTTTAGTATATCGATAATATTGAGCTTATGATGTATTCTAGATACAAAAAATAAAGCACATGGCACCTGAAATTTAGCTTCTCAAATTAGTTATTGAATGAAAATTGCATCAATTGTAAAACAAACGGTTGTAAATCTTAAAGTATCACATGCTGTGAATGCAATTTGTGTCGAAAGTGCTATACTTTAAGAATTTCGGGAGAAACTAAAGGAATTATTCATAGGAGTTCACAAATTACAATTTTATAAGCGATTAGAAATACCTTTCATCAAATTTCATTCAATATTATACCATAGACAATCTCAATGTGTTGATCATATTATATCCTATCATGAATACGCGTATAATAGCAAAATTCTTTACGGTGATTATGTTAATCTTCATTGAATGCAACAGCGATTGTTATATTTTTGTTCTCAAATATTATCAAGAGGCACCCAAAAATTCTTTATCATCTGTTCTACAAATATCTAACAATGACACTTATAATATTAATGAATTTTGATTCGTTTGAAATTATTTCAATGTCTTGAGTTAGATATACATGTATTTCAGTTCCAGTAGGAAACTTTCTCTGTTTAACTGAGATTATAGAAATGGCTTTGAGTATAATTGATATTTAATATAAGCGAAAAACAAATCATATTTTTTTCTTTCTAGATTTTCTCCTTATGTTTTCACTCCTTACGCTAGTCAAAACAAAAGCAATATGTTCTTCGAAAGTAGTATGACCGGTGGTGTATTTTCTTATTTCAACAGGATTAGAAGTCGAACATGTTCATTATTATCTTCATCAGTTACCAGCAAACATTTGATAACAAATGAAACTAAATATAGTTTCTTTAGCTTGTATTGTATAGGGATTGTTTTTACTACTGTGTTTTTATAGCTGTGGAGAAACTACAACTCTAGAAACTCCTTCAGATATAATTGCTGGTAATAATTTTCATAAATTTGACTTTGTATTTTTATTCTCAGGCCTTTCGACTCAGAAGAAAAAAACATTTCAGAACCACAAACAAAAAAAGGCTAACCCAGGCGTATCAGTTAACAATTTTTTTCATAACTAAAATAAAAATTGGGACGTAGAACTACATTAGGACCTCTTTTGTCGCCCACGCAAATGAATCCGACAGCGAACCCTATCGGATCTCATGGAATTCAACAAGCCGACAAAATCCGATCAGATTCCTGGTCACGGACCTATGAACGGATCGGACGGAAAAAAACATTTTTTTAGTCACCAATGAATAAGTATATGGTGCCAACAAAACACATGGGTCGAATGCTTGCGTTGGATTCCGTTAAGTTCCACCACTGGAATCTACTGGATTCCAGCACTAGGGTTCCGATTGTAGGTCCCACGCCCGGATACCGATAGGATTTCGCTGATTTAATGGAATCCATACTATATCCGGTAAGATTCCGACACGAATTTGATAGGATCCCACTATCGGAATCATTCTCCTGGGTAATGCTGATTGTTACACAAGGGCCTCGCTGCAACTTAAATCAATTGATAAAATAGAAATTTATGCCTATGTCTAACCCACAACAACAACACTCTAATGTTATTCTAATTCATATTTTTACTATTCTTTTTTTTTCTATCGAGATCTTGTGTCCAACACATCCCAAATCATGTGATACTGTATTTTCGCGGTTTTTAAGTCTTATACATGAAATCCATGTGAAATAAATAAAACCTCATCCACGAAAGAATAATTCTACCAAAACCGTCATTAGAATAAAGCACTTGATCACGGGATCAAGCGAACCTAATAGAAACCGTCGGATAACCGCCAGTTTTTTCGCGGTTGAGATCGCATGCGCATATCAACAAAATTTGTTCCATGCAATCAATGACTGCTGCCGCCATCTACATGTCACTTTCATCTATTTGCTGAAAATAATGAGTCATGTTATGACAGAAGAGAAAAAAAATAAGAAGGAGGAAAAGGGTCATGTTTTACATTTTTCCGTTTTTTTTCATATCAAGCCTCACCTCATCGCAATGTCTTCATATCAAACAGCTCGTAAAAAATTTTTTTTTATACTACTAGTAGTGCCACGAGAATCTATTCATTTTTAGCCTATACACATTTTCATGAACTAGTCGATACATGGACCAAATATTCACAAGCTATTGAATCACAAGGTATTCAAAAAACAAAAGATAATGAAAATAACCTTTGCATTTTTTTCTGGCTTTTAGTAAAAAATCTAACCGAAAGAGCACGAGCACTTGGCACTCCATCAGATACACCAGAATTTCGCTCAAGATTGTAAAACATCATTTTGTTTAATACAAAAATAAAATTCTATTATTTTATCAGAGATGATGATGAACAACGTCTTCATACTATTGCAAACAAGACAAAAACAATACTAAAAGAATTAGTTGACGAAATGAATAAAATAAAGAAAGATCTATCAAGAGTAATTTTTAATGATTGAATAAAATAATAAATTTTTTTTATTTCATTTATTATAGAATGATTTAGATATGATAACTAAAGTAAAAGGTGCTATGACTAATGCATTGAAAAGTTATGAAGAAATCATTACAGTAAATTTTCATTCTGTTTTCCTCTTTTCATCAAAGTTTTCAATATTAATTAAATCTAGAGTGTCAGCAAACGGCGTCAACAATTTGCACATAGCAGTAATAATACACTAATCGAATTTGGCGATTCAGTAAAATAAATAAATTGATTATAACTAGAAATATTTTTATTTATTTCGCATAGCATGGGAATGAGGATGATATTCATCAACGTTTACAATTACAGTAAATAAAGAAAAATAGCAATAACCTTATTATTTTTCTCATACGTTTTTTATTATTTAGACAACAAATGAAAACGAATAATAGTCTATTAATTCAACAAAATGAAGAACAGTTCTTTATAGAGGACCAAGTTCAAATTGTACAAGTAAGAAATTGAGAAAATATTCCTCTACTACTAGTTATGTTGGTTTTGCAGATGAACATTTCTCATAAGATCCCAGTGAAATTCCGTGCCTTTAGTCATCATTCTATATCTAAACAAAGATTTTGTTAATGTAGTATTTAGACTGGTATTGACAACAAGATAAAATAAAAGTATACTAACAGTATCCTCTAAGTCATCTAGCTAAATACATAAGAAACAATAAATCATTGAGTTCAAAATACAATTAATGTTCAAATCGGAGATAATCTACTATTTTAATCCGCAAAAAATTCATTGATTTAAGAGAAAGTTATATTTATTTTTACAAATAAATAAATCTTTAAAAACGAGATATGATCATTAACACATGACGAAAGACTATTGGTCCATTCATTATTCTAATTTGTTCTGATATTTAAGGGTGATGTCATCCAAATAAATCATATAATGCGTGATATCGGCACTATTACTTCTGAACAATCTTCAATTATTGCGGGTATTGAACGAAATGTAACAGGTGCAACTGATCATATAATAGCTGGTAATCAACAATTGTTAGGTGCATCAAGACATCAAGTAAACAGAACAGTATCATACTAAATTATAACCTTATCTTTTTTCTTTCTTTAGAAAAAATATCGTAAGAAAATTTGTTGCCTTTTACTTATCTTTCTTGTAATAGCAGTTATTGTTGCTATTGTTATTGTTGTTAAATTAAAAACATAAGACAAAAATCAATAGATCAATGACTAACCAGACGCCATAATTTTTCTTTTTCTGTTATGATAATTTACCGCCAGAGTCGTTCTTTTTTCATTTATGTACAGATCGATTATTCTTCTTTATATTTACATGTATACTTGATTTAAGAAAACATAAATTCTTACATGTTGATTATTTTTTTAGATATATAAAAATGGCAACATCATCTATAATCATGTTAAGCAATGTATCGATGGAACGTCTTTATTTATCTCAACCACCAGCATGGGCTGATTTACAACGTTTACCATTTTCGTTAAATCAACAACAGCAAGATACTCGTTCAAGCCAACAAATAATTCGTACGTGTTATGATAAACTTCTTCATCATATGTATGATACGAATTCATCTTCAACTACAACAATCAATCAAATAAATGAACAATTAGAATTAGCTGCTGAATATTGTCAATTGAAAAATTTTCATGATGGAAATGCTGTTTATCTACATTCGGATCAATTTTATCTTGAAATAAAATTTGATTCTACAGCACATGTACCACAACATGTATCGATTTGTTTCACTGATGAACAACAAGTAAATTCAGATAGTTATGTATGTTCACGTATGTTAAAAGCCTTAAATGAAAAACAATATAAATTATTTCGTGAACATTTAAATGGTTATGCAAATTTATTTACATTATCAGCACCTACTATGAATAATGATAGAAGAATTGGTTCTACAGCTTATAAAATACTTCAACAAGATTTAGAACGCTTAGCTAAAACAGATGTTTATGGAACATTATTAGAAGGTTTTGAACCAACTTGTGAAGGATTACCTATGCGTATTAAATTTAATGATCAAAGTAAGTTTGATTTGACGAAACTTTTCTATCATTTTTGCTTGAAAAATGCACGATTAGATTTGTTTTTTTTCTGAGTATAGAGGATTGCTGCCTTTCTAATCAATCTTAATTTATTATCTAAATCAATAGTAACGATATCGTATTTCATAGAAATCTATCTAGAAGACTATCTGATTTCAAGGATCAGATTCTTATGAGCAAACACTGAAGCTACTAAAGGACAGGGGCGTATAAGATATCCTATCGGCCCATTTAGATTTTTTCACCTCAACCTAGTCACATTACATATGAAATGAAAGCTCTCGTTGAGACAAGCATTTCGGTGCTAAATCCGTCACGGAAAAAATGAATTTCAAAAAATGTGATGAACACCAACGAAAGTTGACTATTTGGCTGTTGCTATTGAAAAGAGTCTCCCGTTTTCGACACAAATATATCACACTAGAACTATTCTCACATTGACCAGTCGATAGACATTTTTACGCGCAACAAAATAGGATGATTACGAAAGCCAAAAAACATTGACCACTTAAAGATAGCCGCGACATACACTTTTTTGAGCGGTGATTTTGTCGTTTTTTTCCTACTCTCTATTGGATTATGCCCTGAAAGACTATAGTTTTTGTAAAAAATTATGTTATATTCGGAATCAGCATTGAAAACTGAGTGAATTTAACTGCATTTTCAATATTTTCCAGTAATTAAATTTTTGTCGAAAAAATTACCTGTACTACTGAAGGTTGGGTGAAAATATTAACTTCACTAAAACACGATTTCGACAATGGCAATGAAGTTCTAAACATATAAAATGTTATTAGAACTCGAAATAGCAGAACGTTAAACAAAAACAAAGTGGTTCTGGTGAATTTATTTTTTTACCCAACAATGTTTTTTGACTTTCGCAATCATTCTATTTTGTAGCGCGTAAAAATGTCTATCGACTGGTCAATGTGAGAATAGTTCTAGTGTGATATATTTGTGTCGAAAACGGGAGACTCTTTTCAATAGCAACAGTCAAATAGTCAACTTTCGTTGGTGTTCATCACTTTTTTGAAATTCATTTTTTCCGTGACGGATTTAGTACCGAAATGCTTGTCTCAACGAGAACTTTCATTTCATATGTAATGTGACTAGGTTAAGGTGAAAAAATCTAAATAGACCGATAGGGTATCTTATACGCCCTTGTCATTTACAAGAAACTTTCTTGTTTAAGACTCTTCCAGGGACTTAGGTTCTCTGAAAAATTCCGTTATTGAGTTTTTTGTTTCAAGCAAGGCTTGATATCTCCGTAGCTATAATCTTTAGCAAACTGACATTTTCAGAACACTTTTAAAAAGAGCTCGCTCGCTGATTATGCATCTTCGATGTGAAACTTGTCTTCTCCGAAATAATAGTTCTCTCAATATCTGAGTCAATGTTCGTCGTTCGGGCTTAATCTTTCCGTTTGAATGCTTTAAAACATTTTAGTGAAGAACATTTCAGGCTCACAATTTAAAGGTACTAAATAAAGAAAGGAATTTCATGGAATTGATTGCCAGTTGTTTGTCTATCAGTTATTGCGGATGCTTGGTAGAAATAAACTTAATGAGCCATTATAAAGTTGTAGACAAGCTTTTTTTTGTGATTCTAGTGACATAAACTCCTGTATATACATTTTTTTATTTGTGGACATCTCGGTACTTTTGACAGAAATAGTTTGAAGCTAGATAATATCCTAATCCATCTATCTGTATAATAGTCTCATAGAGATTTAATACTTTGAATAAGAATTTGGTTCGATAGCATACATTTCAGTGACTCTACATTGTTTAGTAAGTGAGAAAGAGTACGCTTTTAAATAGCTTTTCATTCCAAAAACAAAAATTCAAGAAATCAGGTTCTAGTGTTGCAGATTAATTGAGATATTGGCGAGATGTAAGAATTGTAGACTTTGCGATCTTTAAAAGTAGCAATCGCTGGCTATCTCTGAAACGAGTATCAAAGTAAGACAGTTCATGGTAACACTTATCTATAGAGTGAACTAAATATATAGTAATAGTTAGAATATTCTCTTCCCATAGAATTTTACTTAAAATGTTATATTCATGAATCATGGAAAGAATAAAACTGTTGTATTCGAAATTCTAAACAACAATGAACGTTCTTTTTATATCTATTTTATGTTTAGTAAAAACTGATCCATTATTACCAAACAATGTTCGTATTGTAATTGTTCCAAGTAACAATCAACATTTTCTACCTATGAAATCCAGTATTTATATGGATGAAAAAACGAATACAATTCAATTGGACACATCTATGAAATCCAATCTTCTTGCAACAGGTCATTTTGCACTTGAATTCGACGAAAATCAATCACCATTTACATTTCTTTTATCATATGCTCAAGAGATAAGTCAATTAACGAATATAAATAGTTTTATTTCAAATGTAAAATCATTTAATTATCTTTCAACTATTATACCGAAAACGAAATCATTCAGTCAATACCAATGGTATATATCACAGGATCAATTAGCTATATCAATTCGTCGAATACCATTTACAAATTTAAAACAATTAATACGTATTTTAAATTTAATAAGACAACAAATCTACTTAACTAAATATTTCAATTATTACTTCAATAATGATTATGATCATGATCGTATGGAAGACGATAGTTCTAATGAAATATATCTTGAATTATCATTTTTATCGTCAACAATATTATCTATAACATGTGCGCAATCATATCGCTTATCAACATTTTTATTACAAATGTCAAATATCAATACATTACCATTATTAATTAATCGGCAGCAACAAAAAGAAATTTATTTAACGAATGATAAATGTTCTTTATTAAAATTAATTGAAAGCATTCTTAAAGAAGATAATTTAAATAAAAATTCATTTGAATCAACTATGGATTTTAAACCAACTAATCAATTACAAGAACTAACAAACAATACAACGAATCCATCTAAAATTAATCGTCGTCTATCGTGTGGTCCACCTGCTAAACCAACATGGCGACGAGCCACAACACTACGTCGTATGCAACCAGCTTGTTTAACATTGGCATCAATAGAAACTGTTGAAGAGAAAATTGATGATGAACCATTAATTGATGATTATGTTAATCAAAACATAACAACTGAACCATTCGATGACGATGACAATGATCCTTTTCCTGAATCACCTGATCAACAAAGTCTACATCATCAACAAATATTACCGAAACCATCATCGAATCCTTATCCATCGTCATTAAGTCGTTGTACATCAGTTTCATCGACACAATCAATTTCAACACCACCTATATTTGGTTTATCACCATCAACACCGTATCCGGGCGGGAAAAATATTCCAAATGGAAATATATTTTTTCCACTGGGCAAACAAGTATCGGTTCCCGAGCATAGTCCAGTTACTTCACCAATTATCATGGGAGCATTTGACCCTTTATCATTTTTACCAACAAATACAACATCATCGAATCCTATGTCATCGAATGATCCAAATAATAAAACTCAAAAAAAGAAACGACGAAGATCAGAACATTCAGCCGACGATTTTATACAGACATTAAATAGTACTTCTAATGGTACGTATTATTCATAAAGAAAGGTTCTAGAAATCATCAGTGAAAAAGCATTGAGTATCTTTTTATCGCTTGAAGAAATTCCAATGATTTTTATGACATGATAAAATATTGGAGAGAATTAAAATTAAAAACTGTTTTTTTTCTGAAAGCAACTGGATCGAAATTTATTTCGAAAGATTGTACTCGCACATTAATATGCCTGTTGATATTTCATATTTACGATTGAACTAGATTAAATATAATTTTTAACATGCTAAAAATCATTCACATTTCTATTTCTTCGATATAGATAATCGTTCGCCAATCCTTACAACAAAACTAACATCATCTGGAGGTGATCCATCAAATATTAAACGAGGTAAAAAACCAATGGATAAAAATCCACAACAACAACAAATTGCTCGACAAAAATCAGCATTCAAAGTAACTGACTCGCCAACAACTGGTTTGCTATCTCAACAATCATTAACATCATCAGATGAAACACAAAATGAATTGAAGCCCTTAAAAGTGGTTATAAAACGTGTTGGCGACAGTGGCAGTAATTCAAATGATGAATCTCAACAACAAGCCATAAAGCAACGGAAAAAACAACAACAACAACAACAACAACAACAAAACATGGCAAATGCTACTGGAGCTTTACCAACAACTGTGAGAAAATTGCCAAGTAGTAATTCATCGGGTGGATCATCACCATCGGTTTTAATCAAAAGTGAAAGTATTGATATGTCCCAATTAAATGTTGATATAAATCCTAATACAATGATGACACTTAATGATGGAATGCAAGTATCACGGTAGGATTTTTATTTTTATTTTTCTTAAATAACGTATTTAATATGCATATTAGTGAACGATCACGTCCATCATCATCTCAATTGAATCTATCGACACCTCTTTCATCATCAGTATCATCTCAACCACGATCAACTGCACCACAACCACCAATTGTATTGAAAATTCAGCGAAGTAAAGTCTATCCAGGACAAGAATCATCTTCATCGAATCCATCATCGTCATTATCAACTGTAGCAGCCACAACAACAACAACGAATAATACTCCATCGTCACTTAAAGAAGCATCTAAACCTCGTGCACGTTCAATACCATCTGGAGCAAATACTAATAAGCAAAGTGTCACATCTCCACCACTTCTTGCCGCTAAACTTGCAAGTCCATCGACAGCGACAACAAATAATCCTTTAGCACCACCAATATCTGTAAATCCATCGTTTCGTATTCCAAGAAAATCATCATCTCAAGAAGTTACAGCAAAGCCTAAAGTTGAGCCTATTGCTCCGGCTAACAGTATGTTACATTATTAAATTGAATAAAGTCTATTTCTTGTACCGTATTCTTTTTTTTTCTAGATGCAAGCCCTGCTGTACCAAAAACTCCACTATTACCAACACCAGGTAAGAATAAAATTTTCCATATAGAAATTTATAAATAAATCATTATCAACTATAGTTGTTCGACCACCTCCACCTCCACCACCATCACAAATTGGCAGCTGGCAATCACCGCCGACTCAACAACCATCACGTTTCCATCAAAGCCGTCCTCGTTCTGCCTGGTCTCAACAGCAAGCACCACGTGGACGAGCACCTATAACACCACCTAATGTATCTGCATTGAATAGTGGCCATACTTCATTGCCAAATTTTGCTCAACAACCACGATCAATACTGAAAAAACCCTCATCAAATGAAAATCCAACATCAGATTCAATCTATATGTCATCATCAGACTTACCAGGCTTGAACGAACAACGAGCTGGAGCAAACTTTGCGGCACCTCCACCACCACCATCACGTACATCTACATCACCTGGCATGTATGATGATAATGATGATGATTCATCGCCACAGGTATGTTGATATGACAAATTTGAAAAAAGGAGCACAAATAAATATGATTATCTTTGTTTCTTTTCGTTTTTTTTTATTTTCTCAGGCACAATTGGTGATTGATACAAGTAGCAATACGACAAATAATGTTCTTTTACCATATACGATCGTACCTGGTTCAACTTCAGGAGCAATGGATAGTTTCGATCAACAACATGAGAATAATACTATGATGAATTCATCTCAACAGCAACATATTGCTGACGATTCACTATCTAATATAGACTGATGTTCTTCATATCTCTTTGTTTTTATTTTGTATTCATTTTGACATTTATCTCAAATCTATCTATGTCTATGTATATATAGAGTGATAAAATAAATCGTCTATTCATTAATATCAATAGGTTTTTATAAAAATAATACGTCTAATGAAATAAAACACAATAAATAAAAAAACATCAGCGTTTTTTCTTGTTTCAAAGGCTTATCAATTTTTTTATTCCCTGAAAATCTCATGAGAATACTGATTACAATTGCAATTCTAATGGATGTTCTTAGTTGAATAAAATATGATCATGGGACCTGTAGATACGCATTGATCACAACATCAAGGTCATGCTTATGAGGGACCAAGAGCATGGGTTAGTAAAAAACAATGATTCGGCGTACGGATATGTTATTTTATCGGTGCAATGTTTATTTTTCGTTTTTCTTTTTTCGTACTTGACAGTAATCATGGGGTACACCATAATAACTCTTAACTTTATGTGACAGTAATCAGTGGTTATTTGCAAGAATGCAATCTCAACGAATTTGCTAATCATGTTCGAATTTCATAAGAGATGAGAAAAAAAGGAAGAGTAATAGGAAATCAGCATAATAATCATGCCCAACATAAATCCGCTCACAATGACCTTGCCAATCGATCAAAAATACTGATTGAATCAATTCTCTTCAATATTGCACTGTTGGATTCAACAGACAAGAAAAAATTCTTTAATTTATACATCGTTATGGAATTCTTAATAGAATTTCTCTTTATCTATATATCCTTGATTTCAATCGATGTGATCAGCTCATGTATGAATTTTCATTTTCATAACATTTCAATCAAGACAAACAAAAAAGTATTGTTTATTCATTCATAGTAATGGTTGTGATCAAACTAAAAAATAACACTATTTTCATCATCCTTTTGGCATTGATTCCAAGCTGGTAGCTATTAATACATTATGTGTCTTATCATTTACAGACAAGCCTGCCGTTTGTTTCATGCAGCTTACAGAACAGTTAATAACTTTAGTAACAGATAACAAACCGATGTTCGCCAATGCTAGATAGTTGTTTCTGTTCAGTTTCTTTTGTCCCGATTCAATGAGACAACCGTTTTTATTCCTAAGCATTCTTTCTTACTTGTTACATACAAAATGAAAATTGTATTTGGAATTTGGAATTTTTTGTATCTTCTAAATCGAACTATTTTTCAAGATAAAAGAACTAGACTTCGTACTCCCTAACCAATGATGTTCTGATACGTTTAGGCAGCTGTTGATAAGATAATAGCTGATTTCTTTCCGAAAAATATGATGCGCCGTAACTTATGTATATGTCAAAATATGTTTGATCCTCAAACGACAATCGTTATTATCATGCGAAGCTAGAAACCAATGCATCACGACTACATCGACGTATAACTGATGAGAAGAAAAAGTTCGGAATAACAACTACTTTTTTTGCGTTCTGTGTTTGTGCGTGCGTTGATACCTCCTCAAGTATTCTTACCAAATTAATACTAGCTACACATTTGAGATGACAAATGTAGACAACAGGGAAAAAGAGACTCGAAGAACGACAAGACAAGAAGCATTATTCATACAGAAAACTTTCTTCTATAACGTTAATTATACAATCTTTTTTCAGTTGTAAATTTTTTTCCTTAAACCAATGTGATACTCATACAAGAGAATAATGTGTGACAATACATTTATACACTTGCATTCTCTATTTTGTTATGTAGATAACTTTATCCTAAATACAATAATATATATATATATATATATATATGCTCAATTCAATGCTTAATCAAACAGCATAATGTATTTTTCTTCATTGCTCTGCTCAATCGTTAGAAGTGTTTCGAAGAGAACAACTCGAACATTTTCAGTCATAGCTAAATCGCCAAGCACTATAGGTAAATAGTTAATGTAAATTAAATTAAATTCATACATAAATTTTTCGTAAAACACAAATACATATTTTTCATGAATATAATTCATTTTAGAACAATCGTTAACCTATACAGATACTGTTCTTGTCTTATCATTAATGTTACCATCACGTCAAGAAATATGTCGTTTTCATCTTAATTTACAAACAGCAACAGTTGGCCAAGTGATTGATGAAATAAAATCTGAAGATGCTGGCGTTGAACATGTTCAAATCTATGATCAAAATGGTGTTTCATTAGCTAAATCATATCCCGTAAATTCGTTGATGACTTATCCTTTTACTATCGAATTAAATAAACAAAGAACATTTCTTTTTGATCCAATTAAAAAAGTAGAACTTAAAGAAACTATTGTTCGACAACATAAAGGCGATGGTCCATCAACTGAAGATACTGTTGCTGCACTTTATCATGCATTAAATGTGATGAAAATTTATCATCATAAATATCTTGAATTACAAAAGGAAGCTAATGATTTGTCAGTACAACTTGAACCACTTGAGAAAGTAAGCAACACATGGGTTTTTATTTTTCTTTGAAAAATGAAATGATTACAAGATGTATCATTGTTGTTTTTTTCCGTCTAATCAAGATTGATTATCATATATACTAACAACCAAAACAGAAATATTTATGCATGCAATGCAACTGCTAATCTAGGAGATTTTCCTATAATTGTGTATGAAATTTATTATTCGGAAGAAATATAATAATTATTTTTATTGAAATGAGATTCTTGGCTTTCTTATGAAAAAAAGAAAAGAAAGTCTCATTGAAATATTTTCCAATCTATCTTGTTTTTCTTTTCTTTATTCTAATAGGTAAAAGACAAATTAGCTGATATATGCCAACGTTATACATCTCGTTGTATATGGTATGGATTAGGTGCAATGTCATTTCAAGTTGGGATATTAGCTGAACTTACATGGGATGTTTATTCATGGGATATTGTTGAACCTATTTCATATTTTATTGCGTTTGGTACTGCAATCTCCATCTATTCATTTCATTTAATGACTCGTTTCGATTTCGAATTTATGACGATGACCGATCGATTATTTCTTCGTAGATTTTACAGTGAAGCTCATCGTCATTCTTTTGATGTTTCTCTTTATAATCAATTAAAAGACCGTCTTTTTGGTGTCAATACTGATATAGCACGGTTGCGAGCTCCTCTCTCTTTATCATTACCAGCTCCACCAAATCCTGTAAAATGTAAAATTAGTGGTGAAGAATTGAATTTATTGGATGTCTGTCGTACAAGAAGAGTAAATTAGCAAAGAAATAGCTTTAACCTGTGCTAGAATCATAAAAGAAAATCAAAATTTATTCACGTATAAAAACAAAATCAAAAGGAATAGTGTTCATTTTGTTTTCTTGGAAAATTCATATGATTGCAATCATTTTTATTATTTTCTTATGCAATCGTATACATTAATATATACATATATATATATATACAGTGAAGTGAAAAAAAATTGCCGTTGCACCTACGCATTCTCTCGAATCATATATGTGAAGCGCATGAACGGATTCTTCTGAAACTTTCATCAGTAATTAAGGATGTGCTATAGATTTTGATCAGAGCGGGACTCCTCAAAAAGTGTCGTACAGTAGAGCGAGAGACATCATGATTCGAGTATCTACCGCTTTTCTAGAATATCAAACAGTCATATTACACTACCACGACTAGGGCAATCGTATCGCTACGAAAATCGTCTTCTTAAAGATACTCTACATCCATAGTATCTAACGAAATACAAATGAGGACCAACGACACGCACTGTAAAAACAAACGGAGGATCACGGTGTGTAGAATTGCCAGAAAAAATGGTGATCGAACTAAATTTTCTAACTATCTCGACAATGACTTATCTAATCGACTTGAAATTTTCACAGTAGACAAACATCGGCTAGTAGATAAAATTTTGCCCCATGTGAACAAATTCTGAAAATTCATCTTCAGCGTCAAATAGAGGTCAAAATTTGAGAAGGTTGCGTTGCATTTCTTTCCCGCTTTAAAAATCGAAAAGATATCGTATCGAGCTGAAACTCCGGCTACTGGATCTTGGCCCAAAAGGAAGTTCACAGCTTCTTCCACTCTTCTCCAAACACACATTTTAGGCTAGCACATAATCCATGTACATAGGCAAAGCGATCTTAAGCTATTTGAGTGTATCGATGAAGCTAGTGTTTAGTGCTGTTTTTGGCTGAAGGAAAGAAAAGCTAACTATCGATTATTATATTTGTGTACTCTTGTGTATGTATAATCTATTTATAAAAAGAAACTTTTAATATTCATCATGTTCAGTTGAGTAACTTTATCAAATACTAATGACAATTATTTTTGCACACCACTGTATATATATATATATATATATATATATATATCATGCTTTTGACTTTTTGTTTATAACCTTTACAATAAAATAGGAAACAAAAAAAGAAATAGATCATTTGTTATTGTAATTATTAATAATTTAATAAATCCCTGGCCATACTTTCCATGGGACTAATTCACAATATTTCTTCCATGCTTGACCATATTTCAATCTACATTTTTGATCATCTCGATGAGCACGATGTATTAATAAAATAAATAACATGATTATATAACCATATGGTAAAATATATTTAAATCCACACGGACATGTCCAAAGAAAAGCTAATGTTAGTTCAGGTATATAATGAAAATGTCTTGATATAGACCAATAACCGGATGTAAGTAAAATACTTTCAGATTCATTCCCATTTAATAAAATATATTTTGCGCGTATTATTTCAGCTGGCTTACCCCATACTAAACATTTTCCATGTGTTGATCTAACCTCAATTTTTTGTCGATCACAATCATAATTAATATATATTGCAAGAAACCCTAGTAGAAGTATAATTGCTGTTAATACAGGTCCAAGTTGAGTTGGATGTTGAACAAGAAAATAAGATGGAAGTGTATAAATACCAGATACCCATACCAGACAACCCCAACATAGATAGAATCCGGCACGATCAACAATAATATCAATTGTTTTCATATAACCTATGTATATTAATGAAATTATTTTCTTTGTAGAAAAAATAATAATTAGATTTACCTGATTCCCACCAAAAAAATTTTGTTAAATAAACAAGTGTTAAAAGACATGTAACTAAAGCACTATCTGTATAACCATAAAGTTCAAATGTTTTCATACAAAAAATAACTGATAAGAGTGCCCACGCTAACATTCCGTATCGACAATTTGTTATAAGTTTAATATCAACATTAAATATTCTTGGATAAAGTTCGACTCCACGATAAAAATCCATTAACCAATTTGATGATGATCGATAATCATTGGTTGATGGCATATATTTGCCTTTAATCATAACTAAAAAGCATAGGAAGAAAGCAAATGTGTTGACTGTTGACAAAAAATCTTTCCAATGATCATAAATATATGTTGGAGAAAGATTATTTAACTTTAATAACAATGTTAATAAAGCAAATATGATTAGTGAAACAATATAATAAATAAAGCCATTATTTCGATAGACTGGTACATGTCCTGTGTCGGTTATTGGTCCACTGTATTCTTTACCAGGTAATAATGCCGTCATTATAATAGAATATACGAAAACGCTTAATAAAATTAACGCTGACGGCCAATGCCATTCAAAATAAAAAAAATCTTCTAAGAAATCTTTGAATGTTATTGTTTGATCGAATGAAACACGTTGAAGATATTCAATAATCGATCCATGACAATGATCACTGATGAAAACAATTGATCGAACAAGAAGTGGACATGTCAAACATAATAGTAATGGCAATATTGATTCTGATATAACTCGATTATGACCTTGTCGTGTATGAACTGATATTTGATGTGTAGAATCATTATCTAATGGTTCTCTATCAACTTTTCTTGGTAGAGATCTATTTCGAAGTTTTTCATCAATGCCATCAGACATGGTTGGTGTTTTAACTAGATAAATGAAAAGTGAAATGTGAAAACAAAATGCTTAAAATACTCTTTTGTCCTCAAGATCACCTTGAAAAAAATTAACTTTAACAACTCGTAGATAAGATATTGCCAACATTTTTTAAACTTATTTCCAGTACGAGAAAAATGAGTAGAGAGTGATAATGAGATCAATGGAACTAGTCTTGATTTTTATTTGTTGGCTTCAGTTCTACACAAAAATATGCAGAATTCGATGTCTAGCTCATTAATGAATACACTAAAGGAAGGAAATAATTTCTGACTTTGATAAACATTTCATTAAATACTGCATTAGGTTAATTTCATAGTTTTATAATATTTAGTGAAAGAGAAAGAAAAGATAAGCAGAGTCTTTTTCTCTATATCTAGCGATAAGCGTTTTATTTAAATAGAGAAAAAATAACTATTCCAAATACTTATGTAATGATGATAATGAGAATTAAGTCATTTGAACGTCTCTATCAATATGTATAACAAGAAAAATTCTGCATTATACTTTCTATAAATATATATTGTAACACTGTGTTCATAATGCACATACTTTCATTGAGAACGTAGTGATTAGAGATGAACTGTCATCGAGCTTCTGGGTCTTAGTTAGTTTTGATGTGCATGTGAAAAATGCTGATCTCGATGGCAAGTATTTTCTGTAAAGATGGCTATTGTTGTGAATTAAATTTATGTCTTTGAAACGAATGGTTCATGGTGTAATTTTTCTTCGTACTTATACTTACATCAAAAGAAGACGAGGCTTATACCAAGATCGAGCATGTTTTAGATATGATACGACTATGTCTGAGACCGAGATCAAAGAGTTTCAATCGAAATGCATCACTAAATATGATGGATGAAAGAATCTCACCATAAAAGAACATGATTTAAGCAGTGAAAAATATACAGAAGATGCTACTTCAAAAATAGTGGAGATTACTCCACAATAGTCAATTATCTCTTGTATATAAAAGTATCGTTTTGACAATATTTCAAACATCATCAAGAAACAATTTTTAACCTAAAAACTACTTCGCACCTGCTTAAATCGAGGAAAAACAAATGACAGATGAATAACCTAAATTTATTCTATAAAGCTATCCTAGCAGAGAATTGTGTACAGTCATTCTGTAGTTTTCTTTTTAAATAACAGGTCCTTCAAATATTAATATGATTAATAGATACTTACATATTGAATCGCTTTGATTGCTATTTTTATTACCTTTTTCTGTTCGAAAAATTGTGACAATAGCAAAAAACACAAAATAGAAACGAATTAGAATATTAAAGGTCTAGTTCTCTTTCTCTATCTGGCCTAGTAGATCAACAAGACAAGGGTAGGCATTCTTTTTCTCTGGCATTTTCTCTTTTTTTTTTCGTTTCTTTATTTGTTACATATGTTACACCAATGTGCATTTGCCTTTTTTGGTTTCTCTTGAAATTTTTTCCGCTATCATCTACGAATAGATTATGTAAAATCTTCTTATTTCCTTTGTTTTATAAATAAATACGTTACAAAGATAAAAAAAAATGAAATGAAAAATGACAAAGCTTATTAACCCTCATAAAAAGCCGTATTCGGTAGATAAAAACAAATATATACAAATATAGAAATAAAAAGTAGCTCTTTATTTGTTCACAAAATATGGAATGAAAGTATTGTTGATATAAAAAAAGACAAAGAAATGGGAAAGAGATTCGACAAGGCGAATAAAAAATATTTCTACACACAAATTCATGTGAAGGATTCACTGTAGATAGATGAAAAGATAAAAGAAAGAAAATATTTGATGTACAAATAGTAACTTTGTTTTAAGTTACCGACTGTAAATTGAAGAAGTTGTGCTAAAACCACTCGGCGTTCGATTATGTCTAGAACTATCCATAAGATTATTGCTTTTTGTTTGACATTCTTGCCGAGTTTTTTCTCGTACAATTAAGTCAATTTGTTCATCATCAGGCGACCGTGCGAGTGCATAAAATACATTGCAATGATCAGGTATCAGAATTACTATAATAATAATAATAATAATAAATCATTTATTGAACAAACAAAATTTATTTCTTACTTCGATCAAGAAATCGTTGTTCAATACAATATCTTTCATAAGTCGATGGATCAAGACCAAACTTATCAAGAATTGTTTTTAAAACACTAGTTGTTCGTTCATCGTCTCGAATCTAAAAATAGATATCGTAAAATATTCTCACATATTTAATATCCATTTCAGAATTATAAAAAGAATCTCACGAGACACACATGTTTTAGACCAACAGAAAATGACAAAAACAAATACTTGCTTTTATGCATTTACTACTATCGAATAGGAAATATAACAATTGTTTGTTTTCATTGAGTTATTATTGGTGGCATATCGTATTTCAGTGGCATTTGCATGTGTTGTTGAGGCTGATACGGCCTTTACTTCCCGAGACAATTAAAACATCTTTCGGGTCGAATAGAATATATTTTTTTATGAATGTATGAACTTTCATTCAAAATCTTGTTTATGCATCGAGAATCCTCTTATTATACAACTCATTAATGTTGATTATTACAATTAAAAATTACGAAAGTTTATATTTACAAAATTAATTCACAAGAAAATTCCAATTCCACTGTATTTATGTTATTTTATTTTATTCATCTTGACGTGCAACGATTAATACTATGCATCTGCTATTTTTTTCTCATAAATTGACTATAGTAATAATAGATAAATTCACGTTCTTTTCGTAGCTTTGAAGTGACTCCAACGAATTTTCGAAATACTTTTCTATCAGCAAATAATTGATGTGAGATAAGAGTAGAATAGCATTGGTTTTCACTAGTTTTTTTTAAGACTTGCAGTTATACTTACTCGAACTTTTTTATATAAAAGATCATTTTTTCCAGTAAATTGAACTTTTGCTATGATTGTATCATTTTCAGTAGAATTCGATGCACTATTGTTAGCACCAATTTTTGGCGATGCTGTTGCTGATGTATAACCCTGACTTGAACTACCATTTGACGAAGTTAAAAAGCTCGATGTTGATGAGGATCGCGAATGATTTGTATTAGAATTCTATGATATTATTTATAGATGACTTAAGCATTGACAAAGAATTATTCTAGGTTACTTTATCTGGTCTTAGTGGCTGATTCTGACAATGCTGTTGGGATAGGGAACTAATTGATATTGCACTTATTTTATCAAGCGATGTCAATGACGGTGATGATTGCAATGAGGTAGCTGATGTGATCATTGATCCATTATTTTCATTATTCGATGTTGTATGTGAGTCTAATGATACTATAGATGGGACGCGTTGCATAATACTAAATGAAGAAGAAAAAAAGCTTAATTTCTATCATATAAATTCAAATAAGAAGTAACATACGATTTTATCCGTGGTTGGGATCTATAACTTGGTGATGATTGCTCCTGCGGTTGAGAATGATCTGTTACTTCTTTTGGTTCGATTTGATAAGATAATTCCCAACTAAAATAAAGTCATATACAACATAGATTTATTTTTCAAAAAATTGAATTCTACCTTTCAGTATCATTATAAATTCGAACCTTATCAAACCAAGCTTTGAAACGTGATATAGGTTGAAGTGTTGAATATTCATTAGCAGCTAATTGAAACAATTTAATTTGTGCTAAAACTTCGAATATTTTTCGATGTTTTTCAAAATTAATTAATTTTCTCGATGATGATGAATCATCATTTTCAATGGGAATTGTATTTTGATAAGCAGAATCGATGTACGTTAAATCACTGAAATAAAAACCTAAATAAGGCACAGCACCCGTTGTTATCTAAACAAAAATAAGAAACAACGAAAGAATTATAATCCATTAAATTATAGGAACAATTTTTTTTATTGTATAACATACTGATCTCTGTTGATCACGTGTCATCTTATGACGATATTTTCGTCCGAGTGTTGCATTAATTGGTGTGGACACATCGGTATATTTTGTAAGACATTCCTAAGTAGAAAAAAATTTAATTAATTAAAATTATTCGTAGAAAAATTATTTCCAAATTAATAGCAAAATTACAAAAAAATATTTTCTACATGCAAGTATTCATTCATTTAATGCTTAGTTTTAAATACTAAACAAAGATGAATTACAGGGCTATTAAAGCAAATAAATGTAACAGCGTGCAGAATACCGAAATTTTAAAAAAATCAAACCTACAGTGTATTCTGGTAGCATAAGACGAATTTCATCTAGTTGCTGCAAGAATATATTTTAGTATTCGATTTACATCATGAAATACCGCAAATGTAAAAATTCTAACTATCATCTAGATATTTTTCATCAGGCTTACCTTTTCAAGAATGGTTCTTGTTTGTTTTCTATCTGCACAACTACCGAAAACATTTTTTAATTCGTCTAATGTTAACTTATAATCATCTGTAACGTAAGACCAAGCTTTATTTAAACGATATATACAGCCCGATAAAAGACCGTTCAGGATAGCTGTTAATGACGAAAAATTTTTTAGTTTTCGACATTGATGTGCAACATCAATCCATTTTTCAATCACATGTGCACGTGTGTGTTCGTCTTGTTCTTTAAGTATTGTTGCTATAACACGGGCAACAACGGCATTGAAATACTGAATGGTTTTTTCGACGGTTGATAGTGTACGATCTGAATTATTTCCTGGTGTTCGACGAGAACAACTACCTGTTGATCGAGTTAAACATTCATGTGGTAAAACACGTTTTAATAAATCCTAAAATATGACAACAAAAAAATTATACTTTGAAAATCATATATATGTAATTAAGCGCATACTGCATCAACAATAGTTAATTGTTCGGCAATCATCGTACTTGACATCTCTAATATATTCCATGGTTTTATATAATTGAAACCTTTTTCATCATATATACCAGTGCTATTTGATTTATCATTATTATTATTATTATCAACGATGTTTGATTGAATATTTTCTTCATTTTTCTTCAACTCGTCTAATAATATTTGACACTGTTTTAGTAAATCTCTGTCAGGGATATGTTTTATCAAATAATTTAATGTTGAATAATACGGTGGTTCACAAAAATCTTCTTTATAATCGTTTAAAAAATAGGTCATCGCCGTGCGAAGACTCCTAAAACAAGGAATACAAATAAATAATGCATTTAAAATAGACATAATACGAGAAAAAAGTTTGCTGTGCAATTTCATAGTACTTAAAATGAAATTTTAAGCAAAGCATAGTAAGATAGACAAAGGGACATAGTAGATAGATAGATTGATATACTCATACTCGGTTTGAATCTCACTGATAAAATAAGAATAGAACAAACCAATGAAAGAAATCTTTTATATTATTTCAGAAAATAATTTTCTTACTTGACTGATTGTTGTCGCATATCTTCAGTCATGTCGAGTGAAGCTGGAAGAACGGCTCGATATCGTTTTATTAATGTTTCAATTAATGTTCGAGTATTTGTAAATGTTCGATAAGTAGAAAATAAAATATGCATATGTGTTGTGTCTAATTCACCAGTTTCATTTGTTAAATATTCCACTATTTTTTCAAGTGTACCACCTTTTAATTGATAAACTTTTATTGTCGAATAGAGTAATGTACCACGATCATTATTGTGAATGTTACCGGCTGTTTCATGCTATAGAAAGAGAAATTATTTTTATTATTCTTCTTTTGAATGTAAAAAGACCTGTTCATTGGTGTCAGTAGCAAATGTACTTAAGGTCGATGATGAACCACTAAGAGCTGAAGATTTATGTCGAACTCGTTTAAAATAAACTTTAAATATAGCATCATTTTGTCGTTCTTCACCGATATATTGTGGTTGTTGGGTATTCTATGAATAATGAAAAATTTTCATTAATATCAAGATTTAAGCAAAAACTATCAATAATTTTCACTGATAAAAACATCTGATCTAGCTCATTAATACAAACAAGCTGACTAAATATTATGTATTTTACAGAAAATCCTACTCTATGAAGAATTTTGATCAGATCTGCTTTTTCATACTATTTCATGTCTATTGGTCCGCCATAGTCCATCAATTGAGATTGAATCAAGTAAACGTACGATATACAGTGGTGGTTGGTAATCATACGGATACAATTCAACGTCATCTTCCGACGGATCACAGTACATTGATTTTTTTTTGTAATAATAAAATAGGTTATAGGTGGTTCATAGACTAGCTGTAAATTTTGACGAATCTATTCTTGACGAACACCAATATTTATTTTCTCATTTTTATCTTAAATTTTTTTTTGTTTCGTTTCTTTTTCTTATCGCTAAACTCTGATGCATATCGTCCTTTGTTTCTTATTTCAGAGCACAACCTTCACGTACAATCTAGGTAAGCATGTTGCATAACACTTCTATAACTTGCAAGACAGGAAAAAATAACCGGATGAATTTTAACACTCAACTGAATTTTACATCGAGTACGAATGAAAATTCCACTGACATAACTCTTTTTTCCTATTTCATTTGCTAGAATGTAAGTGCAAAAAGAAAAGATTTGGAAGAAACCAAAGCAAACATGCAAAGCGTAGCATGGAAACATTAAATACGTTTCTTAGTTTTCAGTAAAACATAATCAATATCCGTTAATAGAGCTTATCTTACTTGTTCCTCCGGACTCCTCATTTCATCACTTCGCTCGAAGCATTTTTTTTGAAGAGACGGCGATGATACTGACGTCAATAACAAATGATTTAACAACATTCCGATTTTCTATTTTTTTTAAACTCTCTAAAAATAATAATGATTGAATACAATGACACTTGAAAAGAGAGAACAAGAAAAAAAAACCGCAAATATGTTTGTAGAATTTAAGAATGTTGTCTATATATATATATATATATATATATAAATAGAACACATGTTTTTATATATCCTCATTCAATCAAGGTCATTTAAGATTACACACGTTTATGTAAATGAACGTGTACATTGACTTACGAAATGAGTTGCTTCTAATTGTGTATAGATGTTTTGTTGGCTAATACTTCTTTGTGTTGTCTTATTGATAAGTGAACCAGTTTTTGCTGCTAGGGCTATGCGGCGAATCGGCCGACGGCAAAGGGACATTCGATAATAATTTTCAATCAGGAAATAAAAAATACAAATTACAAATATTTTTTCGTGTTATCTCCAAGTTGAGTCACGAAAAAAAAATCAAGTTACATTCCAATTTAACGCTATTGAGAATTGAACAAGTTTGGTTGCAAAACTAATATCATGTGCCCTAGAAGAAAAACAACATCCAATATTGACAGGTATTGAATTTCGTCAATAATAACTGCATCAATGATTCATCAGTCATAAGGAATTATTTGATACTGATATATTGCTAGACAGATTATGATAACTGAAATGAATAATAAATCTTATTTTTACTCTAAGATTTATTTATCAAATTAAGTCGATAAATAAATATATAAATTTATTATATCATTAAACTACTTGCTGTGCATTAACGACATCTGGCACAAGTAATATCTATATCTTATGTGTGATGAATGGTGAAAGTGACTGCATATACCTATCAGCACATTCCCATCCCATCTGGCCCTGTTCTTTTGTTACTAACATCTTATATAAGAGAAGCACCAGTCACACATGAGAAAACACCGAGCGCTGATAAGAGATGACTGGAGATCATACATTGATAAATTCCTGTTTCGCCAAAAAATAAAATTGTAATGAAAAAGCGTATAATCAGAGTGATCAGCTCAATTTCTTTGATTGACTTATACTATTTCTTTAAAAATTAACTAATTGATATTCCTATACTAGTAATCTGTAATTTTGCAAAAGTATCTATATATGTGTGGATGAAACCTATATATGGGAAGAATTTCAGGTCGAAACTACGTCATTCACAGAGGGGAAAACGCTTTTCAATTTATGGGATTTTGGGATTTTGAAAATCCCAAAAATCCGCATTTCTCCCTTGCTTTCGGCCGTTTCGAGTGAACTCTCCTATTCTCTCGACTGTAGGGAGAGTCATATGAAAAAAATACGGTTGTTTGTGTGTGTGTTTGTTTATGGCAGGTCAAATTAACATCTATGAAACGTTAGCACATTTTAACGTTTTTCGGTACTTTGATGAACTTTCGCTAGAGGCTAGCGATATCGAGGAATCTGAATCAATGATAAGATTTTTTTTATTTTTATTTTTTAAGTTTTAGATTTTTTCGAATACACAAAGACTTTTTAGGGAAAAAATGATTTCCTATAAAGTTTGACCGAAGATAATCGAGGCCAAGGAATCTGAATCTGTGATTAGTTTTTTTGAAATGAAAATCTCTTATTGTGAGAACTAAAACGTAACTTTAACAGTTCTGTGTGACTCCGAAAATTGAATCCAGCAGTTGCAGAATGCCTACGCAGCAGAATTCAGAATTCTGTAAACTTTTAATATTTTTAAACAAATCAATGCTTATAGAATAGAATTCTATAGAATTCTATATTGGCACGATTAAAGTATATCATTTTTGCTCCTCGTATGATATTAGAATTCTATTATAGCTTGTTTGAATTCTGCTTAGAATTCTATAGAATGTTAGGGTAATGGAATATGTTTTGTGTAAACAAATGCGTTGGATATGTTGTTCGCTTGGCACAAATTCGGAGGATTAAAGTTGTTTTCGTAAATTTTATGGATAGAGGATAGATTTTATACGAAATGAAGGGAATCTAATACGTCTAGTTTAATTGAAAACATCGACACTTCTAATTTATTTCAAACTTACTGATGTTTCTGGTAAACGTGAAATTTATACACACCAATGTTCTGCGCGCGGATCTTCCTGCTTCAAAAACAGACTGGCAGAACATAGTGCGCCAATTCAAAGGCAACTTTCCAAGTTATTGATAATATAAAAAACTGTTTGTATAACTGTTTAAGTGTTTTTGAAAGATAAGCTATATGTAGTCTTATTAAAATAAATGAATGAAATTACGAAGATACGAAACAACTTGTTCATTAAATAGCTTGGTTAATTCTACAATCCTGGCTTTAGCGTGTACAAAATATTTCATTCTCAATAATGCACGATATTGTTCCATGTTTTATATACATGCCAATGTAAATGTTTCTTCTTTTCTCTCGTTTCATGATGTAATCATCATCAACTATCTTCGATGTGTATCAATTTGTTCTCTAGACATGGATGATTAAAAAAAGAAATCTAGAGATGAACAAACAACCATCATTATGTCAACATCTTTTTACAAGCATACTCCTCAACAGTTGACTACAATAAATCACACAAAACCTTTCATTTTTAAATAAGCATTTGAGCTTTGTATTCTGCTACTACCGATAGAATTCTATTTTATATTCTGCTGGTCTTTGTAACTTCTCGATAAGAATTCATTCTGGTTACCGTCATTTCGTATTTTTATACTGATAGTTGTTTATAATTCTGCTTCTACTGATAGAATTCTATTTTCCACTTATGGTAGTGCGTATGTTTATATTATGCTACTTTTTCGCTATGGAGGAAATAACAAAATTCTGAATTCTGCTGGTTAGGCATTCTGCAAGCCCTCATTGAATCCGAAGGAAACGCTCACGAGGAAATACTTGATTCTGTATATACCATGGAGTAACATTCAATCTTAAATTTGAGTGCTGTTTTTATTAGCGGATGTTGGAATGAACTAGGGTATAAGTGAAAAGGTATGAACACTATTCGAATTTGACCGGAATATGGCAGTGGCTGCTCGTGAGTGGCGCCAACGAACGACTAGCTGCTGCCTAACGATCTTCACTGACGTAAGAATTCAGAATGAAGTGCTGAATATGAATGATATATATCCACTACATCAGACTGACTCTAATAGTAACGAAAAGTGGCAAACAGTTTATTTTTCTACAAACTATACGAAGAAATTTTCTGCAGGCAGAATAGCGAGAAAGAATAATTGGGGGGCCTGTTCTTTCAGCACGGTTAGATAACCCGAGTTTAAACAATATTTGAATCAAGTAAAATGAGTTTTGGAATTTGAAATTGATGTGTGCCTCTGCAACTGCGTACTATTTGCTTAGTTTAAATAGGCGAAATTTAATTTTAGTATTGGTGTTTGACTAAATCTGTCTCTAGATCAACTCGCGACGCACGTAATATACCGTCATGCATGCCCTTATTGAAGGCATGCCTGAGTCTGTTTTCACAGACAGGGTCGTAAAAATCGTTTTTTAGGACCAAATATTAACGTCGTTTAATGTTACTTGTGGGTAGTGATTAGAAATTCGGTCCTTTTCATTTGAATTCAGGCATGAGTCATTATTTGTCTTGTGTACTAGTTTTCTTTTATAGATTTCGTTTTTCACCATAGCTATTGACTAATACCCTCCCGTTGACACAAATATTATAGGCACGCGGAAAACGACACATTTTTCCTTTTCTTCAACATATTATTGACGCATGCGCAGACGTAAAGTGTGGAATTAACTTGTTTGTGCTTCATTCTCTTCATTTTTAGGTTGTTTTTATAAGCAAACAAGAGACTTATCTATACATTTTTAACCGTTTCCCACTATCACTTTCAAGCTGATTTATCATTAAATATGGGTGACTACAGTATAGATAACTCTTTACTACATACAACCGACTACAGAGCTCGCTTCAATACAGTTTTATACCTCAAAAATTTCTATTCCGGCGTTGACAAAGATCCAAATGAAGCACCCCTTGTAGCATTTTTTCTTGAACATTGCACTCGAATCATGCAAGATGAAAGAAACAGATTCGGTAATCGAAAAGCACTCGAGTTTGGTGGTGGACCAAGTCTATGACCATCATTTCTTCTGGCTCAATACGTCGATTCGATTCGATTTTGTGACTACGCCAAATCCAATCTCAACTCTGTTACTGATTGGATTGAACAGAACCCAACCGCTTTTGATTGGACGAATTATTTCGAAAGCGTTCTTACCGTTGCTAGAAGCTCAAAGGAAAAGCGTCTCGAATGGGAATCTCGTCTTCGCGCTGCTCTTTGTCGAGGAGGTCTATCGGCATGTGATGTTAATGATCCCAACTGGCCAGTATTAAGTGGCAAAAGCAACGACTATGATATCATTTTTAGGAGCCTTTGCTTGGAAGCTGCTTGTTTAACGATTGAAATTTTCAATGAAACCATTCGAAGACTTGTTCGATTACTAAAACCAGGTGGCCTTCTTCTACTCGTTATGGTTCGAAATGAATCATTTTATTACGTTGACAAAGAAAAATTCTTTTGCTTGCCGTTGAATGAAGCAAAAGTAGAAAATGCATTGCATGCAACTGGGGAACTTATGGATATTCATATTGATAGTTCGGACACAACAGTCGAAGATCAGGAACGCAATACTATGTCAAATTTCGATGGAGAAATGATAATACATGCATACAAAACTAAAAATATTGAATAAGTATCTGAAAAAGCATGAATGGTACAGAATTCAGAAAGACTGCGAAGCATATGACGTATTATAATATAAACAAATTCAACGTTTACCTAGCTTTTTGATCGAACAGTGTGAGTTCGATCTTACAACAACTAGGTATTCGTTTGTCGAATATCATAAAGTTCATCCTAGCTAGACATGAGAAAAAGATTTGTTTGAAACAGGAATCCAATCTTAAAATTTCACAATCGTATTGAGATTGACTAGTTTTAATTTTGTTGGCATCGGACATGAAATTTCACATCTCTATCGCTCACTGAACAATTCAGTTGTCATTTAGAGCCCTCGTACATTTTCGAAGAAAACCCTGATTGACAGTTTTACGTGGAGATTTTTGCGGCTCCGCGTCCACTCCGCTTTTGTACGCATTTGAAATATCAACGAAAAATGCGCTCATCTCCCCATTGTTAATCAGAGTTTACAGTGATCAGGACCGTGCCTCTCACTTCGCAAAGACATCAAATTGGAAAATATCTAAGTGTACCTATTACAGACGGTAGAAATCGAGACAGTACATCATTACACACATAGACAAATAAATGATGACCGAATTACAGATCTTACCAGGGAACAAACTCAACTGATAAATCGATTTTTTGATAGGACTTCACGCATGCGGTAGACTCTAGTGAGGTAAGCAAAACCTCAAAAGGACAAATACTCACAGGCGTTGTTTTCCACGCTATTGACATTTTACTCAAATTTAAGCCTCTACCGCAGTATATACCAAAAAATTGTACGATGATTTTTAACCGAAGATTGCGCTCATAGACCGATATATTTATGAGTAGAATGTACTAAAAATTTCAGTTCAAATGAGTCTTTCCTTCTCGAGATATTAAACTTCCAAAAATCACTCATATCTCACGAAGGATATGATAGGATTTTCTAGGGTGTGGGTGGATACAGATGTGGGTGCGTATAGGTGTGGGTCGGTATAGATGTGGGTGGGTACAGGTGTGGATGCTACTGTCATCTTTCATTTGCAGCACCCACAACCCTGGACCCACGGGAAGAACCTTTAAAAGTTTCGTAGAACTGAAACATCTTTTTTTGAGCATTTGTATGCATTTGCAAACTTTTCCAAATCTACGGAACCTTTTTCGGGGGTTCCGGAAAGAGCCTTTTTTTAGTGTGTGGTCTCGCGCTAACAGACAGCCATTAAATTATTATATTTTAATCCTTTATCATTTCTTCTGCCATTAGACAATTTTTCCGCGAAATTTCGGCAATGTGAATTTTGGCAAGTTTCTAGACTTCAGCGGTAAAGAAATAGCCTACTCACCCAGAGTAACGAAGCTTTTGTGCTGCTTTTTGCAAAGGTTTTCCAAAAGTGGAACCAGAGGATTCAGTCGAGGCAAAAAACCGCGCATCTTTCTTCCACAAGCTATGAATAGCATACTTTCAAAGGTATGTTACATATGGAATTTCAATTGACATAGTATCATCAGATAACAAATTATTTTCCAGATGGAAGTTAACCCTTTATGGCCGGCTACCAGAAGATAGGAAGAGAAAAAAATTCTTCTTCTATATATTCTTTGTCTCTTAGGTGTGGAGGTTACAGAATTCCATCTTGGAGTTTAAAGAACTGATATTAAGCCGAATGCCAACATGTTGCCTTTTGCCAACATGTTGCCTTTTGGCAACATCCGGCCGTAAGGGTACAAAAAGTTGGAAAAAGTCAATTATTTTTCCTCGATATAAGATCAATAATTTGCTGTTAGTTTCAGTCCAGACTGTGAAGCAAAAGAATACTTTGTTCATCTGCCGATCTCTTACAGCTGTAACGTGAGATTCATTCCCATAATACTCAAAAACCTTCCGAAATAGTGCAAATTTCGCCAATTTTCCTAGAGAAACTCACAAATTTTGCAAGATTCTAACAAGATTTACAGCACATCAAAGTATTCATATTCAGACTATCATAAAACATTACCAATCTTGTTAAAATCTTATTAAATTTGTGAGCCTCCCTAGGGAAAATAGATGAAATATACACTATTTTCAAAAGTTTTTGAGTATTATGGGAATATGTATCACGTTAGGGCTGTAGGAGACGGGCAGATGAACAAAGTATGCTTTTATTTCACAGTCTGGACTAAAACTAACAGCATATTATTGGTCTTTCATCGACGAAAAATAGTTGACTTTTTTCAACTTTTTGTACCCTTACGGCCGGATGTTGCCGAAAGGCAACATTCTTGTACTGTGTTCTTCGAATAAACTGAATGATTCATCTTATTGGCATAATAGATAATGGATCTGGAGAGGAAAATTAACCACTAGTTACTTCTCGCATCGAATGCTCGGACAAATGGAAAACAGATCATTTCGACTCGGGGGCTAATTTGGGTCTCGGCGGGAGAATTCATCCCTTTCGTCAACAATAGCTTTCTCCTTTCTCCAAAAGGCATAGGTTTGCCCTAAAATACGTGTGATTAATTATCAAATAGCTTAAGGAACTATATCTCATCACTTTAAGATAAATCCTTAGATGATATTGGCAAAATGTTGCCAAAATGCAACATCCGGCCGTAAAGGGTTAAAAGTATGTTCGTGAAATATCATTATTTGATGAGCGATCTTTTCAGCATGAGTTTTTTTTTCAAATTTCTCAATCGTTTCTGTTTATGAAAAACTTACCTGTGATTAATCAAAAACCACAAAATGATGAACGATATCAAAACGTAGATGAGGACAATTAACATTTATCAATCATTGAATATCCACATCTTTCTCATCTTAACCTTGATGAAGCTCATGATGATTACATCGAACAATTTCTTATTGAGACGAAAACCTGTTTACCAAATACTGTTTACCTCTCTGTCGATTATCAAGTATTGAAAATGGTGATACAACATTTTACAAGAAATACAACACGAATAAATTGTACCAAACTACGTTCTTTAGGTCTAATTGGAATATGTCAAATTCCTAAATATGTAAAAGAATATTGTCCTCATATAAGAATATGCTGATTACTTTAATAAAACATGTTTTAATGTTGATTAATTCATAGAGAATTAATGCATTGAAATAAAAATGAGAGAGTTACAAATATAAGCGAATATCATCAAATTTAATGATGAGACAAAATTTATTTCGTGAAATAATAACTAAAAACAAACTAATGTTTTCAGTTGATGGAAATGTTAATATATTCATATTTTATTCTTGTGTTAAATGTGATATGGCTGTTGTTCTTCTTCTTTTCTGTTTAGCTCCTTAAAAACCCAGGTCGACTAATCTGACGACGGATTCTATCGGATCCTAAAACATCCTACTAATCGAGAAAATCCAGTTCGATTCTGGGTTTCAGAACTAATGACGGATCCGACGGAAAATTTTTTTAAAATATCAAAATTCTAGTTAGTGCGAAAAAACTTTTTAGAGGTGGACTATAGCAGACTTTTTTTGGCACATCGAATCCCAGAGTAGGATGCGATCGGATAGTATCGGATTCCGATCCTACGGATCCGAGCCCGGAATCCGATGGAATCTGCTGGTTCTTTTCGGCTTTCATGTAAGATCCGATTGGATCTGATTTTAGGAATAAACGACCTGGGAATACCGCTTAATTTATTTTGAGCTTTTGAACAAAAATTGGTAACATCCCAGGTCGAGATTTACGAAGTCCACATACAGCCGTGTACGCTCCGTATACGATCATATTGCGCTGTATACGACACGGAGACATACTAACGTAAACGACCGTACTTGTTCGGCCTGGGATCGCATACTCACAGTCGTCACTATAAAAGAAAGCATTTATCAATGAATAAAGAAGGCAATAATGTTTTAACTTACTCTTTATCGTTGATAAAGTTCTTGTATTCAATTGAGAACCATTTATAATCTTGATATCATCATTAAACTATATATAGAACTAGATTATATTCGCAGATCGAATACGAAATGCGGTGTGAAGCTCGAAAATTTTGAATACCACGAAATCAACAAAATCAGAAAAGACGAATAATCCCATTTTTGAGTCTCTCAGAAAAAAGTCTTTATCTGAAAATTATTTATAGGTTACTACAACTAGGCGTCCGTTTTTCCATTGATTCGGCTGAGAAAGATAGATTTCAATCATAATCAGTTGATTGATCTAGAGAAGAAGAAAATGTAGACATTACGAAGTTCATGACTACGACTACGACACCTCTATTAACACGCATCGAAAAGAAGTTTTCTTGTTGATATTTTAATTATCTGTATCAGTCACTATTAATCATCAGTAACTAAACATGTGATGGATCAGCTGTTATTGAAAAGCGCACCTAAATTGTCCTACAAATTGCGTTTTAATTATTTCGAATTGAAAATCTTTCACAATCGTCTTTTTTCAAAATTATTTGCAATCCAACAGTTCATTCTATTGAAGATCGAGAAACGATTTTATACGGTTCGATCTGAATATTTGCATCGTGTGTTTCAACGAACTTTTTCATTTTTCGTTCTCGAGATCAGCGCGACACAAAGTATGGAATTTGGATGCTGAGTGAGAAAAAGAAATAATAATAATAAAAGGATTCGAATGAATGTATAAATATAATGCTAGAGCATCGTATTAAAATAACTCGCGAAGGAACGCATGAGTGCTGTGCTTCGCGCTACATTAAAAATTCAAAATGAATAGAAATTCAATAATTTACTTTAAATCGAATATGAAACATATCTTTCTCATAGAAATGTCTTGTTTCAATAGCATGCTTTTCTGTTGAATATTTTACGATTACACCATCAAATTCCGCAGGACAATCATATCGACCGTCTGAACGAGCATCTTAAAAGGTCTGAAACGGCTATAAAACGGCTACCATTTTTAACACTTTATTCGTAGTTTTCTGAGCTGGCGGAAACGGCGCCGTTTTTCAATGTTTTATACCGTTTTTATGCCGTTCACAGCAGTTTACGCACCGTTTTCTTGGACATAGGTCATCGTGATAAAAATCGAATATGATGCTTCCTATAATATTACAAGTAACGCGGCGTAAGCGTCGCTAATCCTCTACTGAAATGGGTGACCATATGTTTAATAAATAATAAACAATCATACAAGTGTTGACGTAAGAATTCAGCAATGCTATTTTCCATGTCTTTCTGTAGTGATAAGTGTATCCAACAAAATATTAGTTCGAGAAAGTTTTTAATATTTAATTTGATTCTTTTAATAAACCAAAGGTTCATGCGAAGTCTATTCAGTCGTTTTGAAACATTTGGATTGAAACCTATCTTGAGGGTGTGGGTGTGGCTGAGGTGGTCACCGTGTTCTCAAAACAGGCAACGTTACTAAAATAATTAGAAAGTCTTCTTCGTAAGTTCTAAACTACTTTTCGTTTATTATGCATGCTTAGTTTATTTGTCTGAATCACTATTTTCCTCTAATATTAACTTGATAATGCAATTAGTGCTAATTTCAACTTTACACTACAAAGTTCCGGCTGCTTTAAAAAAAAAGCTTTTGTTCTTCAATTACAAAATTTTCGACCAATTTTCGTAGACCCGTCTTCAACCGCTGAATACAAGCTTGAAAGTTAAAGTTCGATGACTCGTAGTTTGTTCACTATGAAATTGTTATAAAGTCAATAATAAAAGTTTGATAAAGATCAGCGGCGTAAGCAGAGGGAGGGGGACAAGTTGGCAATTGCCCATTTTATTTTGAGTCTTGCTCATTGTAAGTTTCATCAGTTAATTTTTGCCCATTCAAATTTTATTTTTTCACAATTATTTACTTTTGAATAAACTAGCTATAGTACATCTTAAATGACACTGAATAATCAAAACTTCAGGAATAAAAGAAAATATTTCTAATGAATCAACAAACTTGTTCAAGAACATACTGGTTGATACATACCCTCTTTCGGACGACTTGCCTCCCGACACTGAAATATCATAATACGAAGAAACCAGTAATGGATAGAAAATATGCTTGTTCACAATGAAAAACACAATGAGTCGCTTCGCGAAGATTATACTACGTTTTTATGTAGAAACTTCTCGTCGGAAGCTGAAAAACGCAGCTGATAGATTGGGCTGTCTTTCTGTGGTAATTTTTACGATCAACTTTTTTCACATTAGTTATTCTCTAACCTTGTAGTCATCAATCAAGCGCAATTTTCAATTTGTAGGTATTACAAGAAGAATGATATTCATTGATGGAAAACATATTATATAACTGCAATAAAACAACCGTACTCTTCATATGCAGTAGTTCACAACGTCTAACTAAATTGAAATCTAATTATAGGGTTAATTAATCATTTTGCATATCTACGTATTTATGAATAATG